GAGGAGGAGGGGGAGAAATTTCTCTTGTCAGAGTGGCCCATTTTGACTTTGCTGTTCTCACAGTTTGTTGCCGTGGCGTCAATTTAAAGGAGATTGAATTTTATGTGGGAAAACTGGTCAAATTTGCAAAGGGGATCAAATTTCTTTCCACACCTTAGGAAGGTTACATTCTTGGCGAGCAGAAACGAAGATAGAAAAAAGTTAAAAATTTTGTGAAAAACCTCCAAAAGACTCTTGTCACGTTGAAAGAGGTGCAGAATGTGATGATAGAACGAGCCTTTCAATCTGTCATTTGGCCCACTTTCTTTGGGAGGCGAGGAATAATGGGCCGCGGTGGAATAGATGGAATTTACGTCCTAGGCTAAAGTTGTAAAGATTTGTCCACTTATGGATGTCCCATTTCACGTTTGGGGTGCGCTTTTTTTGCCTGTCAACTGATCGAAAGAGCTGAGACAAGAAGTACCTGCCAGATTCCAAAATCTGTTTATGCTTCCCTAACGAGGTATTCATCAATCCCTCCCAAACTACACTCCTCTATATCCATGGATTACTAAAATCGCAGCCTAGACATTTATATCCAGGCCCATTTTATCACCACAGGAGACGAACCCTTCCATTTTTTAATCGTTTAGGATCGAGACTATCCACAGAGGTGGAGCGCGCCCCTCATTCAGTTTACCAAATGGAAGAGTTGATCAGATCCCTCCCGAGGGATGTCTAACCCACTGATTCTCATGATTAAGGGCTTCAAGAACTCCAGAATTCCCTGATTGTGTTTTTGTTCCTTTTGAAACTCCTTTCTAGCACCAAAAAATAGTAAATAGTGGGTAGGAGAGATTTATGGAGGACTTATTTGCAATAGATTTCCCTAGGTCATCTGCAAGGTCCAGTGTTACCATATGTCGTGGTTCACATCGAGGTCACACAGATTTGTGTACATCACTACACTTTTCCATTTCCTTTTTTCTAATAAAAGGATATTTAAGGATATTAGAACTGGTTAAAGAAGACTAGTGGATAGGAAGGTACACTCTCAAGGAATGTTTAATTTTTTAAAACTTATTCGCGTCAAGCCAGGACTTTTGACAATGGACCTACTTTATTTGATGCTCCCTCCCGTCCCCACTTCTATTTACCCGATGGGAGAAGAGTTTGGACAACTAAGACTGTTGAATCTGTTAAGGAGAGTCATCAAACTACATCATGAGCAGATTTCTTCATTGGTTGGAATGAGTGGAGGGTCAGTCATTCTCTTAGCCATGTCAAGCGTATAACATGAAAGAAGCGATGAGCAATAAACTGATTATCCTTGAAGGTCGTTGACATTGGTGAATGCTTGGCATGTGGCATCCACTTACTAGGTAGCCTTCAAACCTGTCTCATCTCAGTTCATGTGTGAATACACCTAGTGTTTCCGCTTACCTGTAAACTCTTCCTCCTCACACTTCAATCCGCAGTCGGTCTAGGGTGGCAACGGTGCCACAGGCACGCACACACTTCGCGAAGAGACGTTCCGTACCCAAACGCCCCTATCTTCACCACTAGAAATGTCTTTTCTGGATTGTATGCTCCACGGCCGCATTTCATGCCTTAAATTTGACACCTCATTTCAACTCCACTGGCTAGAACCACATCCATAGGGTACCTCAACCCAGATACGTTGGTATGAAAGTTGGAGCGGATTCAAACTTACGCAGAACCGATCAGCCTGACGATCACACACTGACTTTCCATTGTACACCTCCTGCCACAAGCCACAATCCGCCATTTGATTGAGGTGAGTGGATAACTCTCCCCACCAACTTTTTCCCCCTTATCTGATGGAATTAGCACATTTTTTCATCTCTCCCTCTCTCTTCAAAACCCATTCTTGAGGCTTTTTTTGACAGAGGGATGTTTGTTTCCGTTGGCCAGAGGAGTTGGGGCACCGCTTTTTGCGACCATCGCTTCCTGTTGATCAAACAAGAAAAAGCGCTTGTCTCTTGGCGGGGACAAAGAAACAGTGCCCTGGAGGGCTTTAACCCTCGAATTGTGGAGTAGGAAATTAGTAGAATGGAGCAGAAAATCAAGGGGATGTGAATCCATTTCTTTATCTTTCTTGATTTCTCGAAAAAAAAAAAGGAAAGTTGCTTTCAAAGAACTCGGAGGATTCACAAATAGGAAGCAAGAGAAGACTTAAAAATTTTGTGGGAAATTTGGACACTTATTTGGAAGCCAAGCTACTAAACTACTTTTTATCTTTTTAGCCGCCATGAACTACCAATCGGTGGTAAGGAGAGGGCTTGGTAAAGAGCAGGAGTGGACTTTAAGGTCACACCATGACGATCGCTTGTGCACGTTCACTATCGTTGATGCGGAGGTTTTCGCCGCCGGTACTCACAGTCGGCACGCTTGTGGTGAACCGGTCTAGTCTAGTCCAGTGCTGCCATTCCCCTTCAAAGGGTCTGGTAACAGTGGCAGTGCGTACGTGCGCGCTTGCACTGGCGACGCGCGGTCATGACCAGACCGATTGTCTTGTCAATGAGGGCTCACCTATTGAAAACTACAGGCGCTGGTGACAGCACATAGCATATTAAATGGGATAGTTACAGCATGTCACTTGAACAGGCAAAGACTTCCTAAGTCGTCTCTGATGCACGTCTGTACATCAGTTTATGGTAGTGTGAAGTGTGGAATGTGGGGTGGTTTCCACATTCCACAGGTGGTAGTTAACAACTAGGTTGGATTTATGGGTGTAGCGGTGGGGAACCAAGTGGGAAATGAGTGATGCGGGATGTAAACTGCGAAATGTGAAAATAACGAAGTTTTGGAACAGGGAATTCCTCAAATAACTCATTCAGCCCAATTTCCGCATATTTTTGGACAGCGATTACCTCCGAACTGTTAATGAACGGTCGGAGAGGGGGGGGGGGAGGGGGAAACCGACAAACCCTTGTTAGCATTGACCACCATTCGAGGTAATCATTTCCACTGGTGATCTTCCGCCTCACTGGAATCTGCTCTTTTCCAATGTAAACTGCCCGATGTAGGAGGAAATGGCCGATGTGTCAATGCCAGGAGATGCCCGGCCCAAGTCATGCTCGTGGAGTCTTCCTTCAAGTAGCACTAGCCTCCATCTTACGATCCACCCCATGTGTTGTCTCCTCCGATCTCACTATGCCTCTTTCCTCCCTAAAATTCCAAAAGAATCCCCTTTCCCTTTTGCCTGTCCGTGTGTGAGTGCGTGTGCGCAGCCTGTTGCTCCATCCCCTACGAAGCGGAGGCAATTTAAGAAATATTTATTCAGCTCTCTACTTCAGATCAATCTAGAGTGCCTTCAAGTTCCGTGATATTTGTCTCTCTTTTTTTCTTTTCTAGCAAAAAAAAGAAAAAAAGAACTCAAAGTAATAAGAGAGGAGAAGGAGGGGAGAAAGTGGTGGTGAAGAGGTAAATATGAAAGGCTTTTGTTTTTTAGTATACATAAGCAATTGTATGCATGAAGAGAGAGTGAAATGAGAAGGTGGGGTCGAAGGTAGGGGGTGAAGGGCAAATTAAAGGGGTCAGCATGCGGATTTGGACATCAAAAAATACATATGCAGATGGACGTTGAAGTATTTATAAGTAGGTAGGCAGTGGATTTAGATTGTCACATTTCAGCGGTGGGATAGGCATTTGCATGTAGAATTTGGTATTTTACCTTCTTTTTTTTCTATTAACTCACAAAACTGCACTTTACCCCCTCCTTTTCGTGGAGTTGGCAAATAAGGGGAAAAATGAGAAGAAAACGGCGACGAAAAAGCTGGCCTGATTGGTTGACTGAAGGAGTGAATGAATGAACGAATGAAAGAGATCAAACAGTAGTGTTCAAAATCAGTAGAGATCAAGACGTCGTTTTAAATCACTTTTCTTCCACTCTGGTAAACGTTGGAATGCCGTTTTGGGCATTTTGAAGAGACGCTCAAATTCCTCCGCAGAAAGGTACTCCTCCCGATGCCTTTCATCGATTCCCTTCAAGTTGGCGTTCGAGGACACCTTCAACTGGTCGTAGGAATAGATCTAAATAGAAAAATCCAATCAACCACTATTTTTTCACCTTTAATTCAAAAAAGTCCGGAGTATGAATTTGAAAAGGAGGGGGGGGGGGGGGTAAAAGGGCCTCTTTAATTACCGCGACGCTATGACGCTAAACCTTAACTCGCCATGTCATGTGTCAATTCTTAAAGACCATAAAAAATTTACCTAAGTGAAGAAAACCTGCTACTACCAACGACAGAAGGTGAGACTAGTCACCAGAGGATTAGATTGAACCTCAGGAGGAGAGGAGGCAGAGTGTAGCTACTGCACGGACGGATGGGATGGCTGGATGATGGATGGATGCAGGGCGGATGGTTAGAAAAACTCAGAAGTCGAGGGATTTCGCCTTTCCATCACTTTGCTAGACTTGGCTTAACCTAGAGTCAAGTCAACCATGACAAACCGAAAAGGTGCGGGCGGAGCATTTTTTTTCTTTCTTCCCGTAAGTGGTGTTGCATGCCTAACCTTTCCGACTTTTTTCCGCGGTCAAGAGTCGTAGCGAATCCGCCGCTGGGCTGTCAACTAACCACCAGTGCAGAAACTTCCTCCAGCCGGAGCAAAAAACAACTCATGCTGCTTCTAGGGAGAACTGGGTATTCCTAAGACAAATAACCCAAAGGGCGTTAGAATGAGGTTTCCGAGCTCCCTCCACCCCGCATTCACTGCTAGTCGCTCACTCCATGGAAAAGGTAGCATACAAGTTTCTTCCAGACTCGTGTGGCACAATACCTTCTGCCCCTGATATTGTTGCGATTTGGTTGGTCTCAACCAGCTCTGAACATCTGGATACTCGTCATCCAGAAGGGCATTCGATCCGCCTCTAGCACTAAACCGGGCATTTTCGGAGGCCGTTCGAGCAGTCCTCCAACCATTTGTTGTATTTATTGCCGCAGCTTTTGTTTGACGTCCACGAGAGAGTTCAAAGGAGGTGCCTCCAAGATAATTGTAGCTTCTGGGACCCACCGGACGCAGACCCGAAATGGAGGGTGGTGGAAGACCACCAGTGAGTGTCGTAGAACGCGCTCGACGACTATCTCGATTTGTTGCCAACGTTGTCAAGGGCTGTGCCAGTTGAGCCTCCGTAGCACCCGCCATACCATTCATTGAAAGTCCTGAGGTGGTCACTGTCCGAAAATAGAAGAACATTTTGCTGAATGTATTATTCGAATAATTCCCTGTTCCAAAACTTCTGCATTTTTTCACTTTGCATTGCCAATTTCCCACCCGGCTCTTTTAACAGCTGTGAGGACTCTAGTTGAAGCGCTGATGGAACACAGGCTTCGCAGTGATGATCGGAAGGATACAAAACGAAGGCTACCTCTCCCCCTCCCTGTGTTCCGTTCTAAAGCGTGGTATTTAGGTCACCCTATGGGTAAATTTTGCGATGTCATGACACCTTGTGGCATCTTATGTAGAGGGGACTTTCTTGTACCCCTTTTTAGACAGATCTCAGATGAAACTGACTTCGCTGGGAAGTATTGTATCTGCAGTCGACCACATACACACACACACACACACACACCAGGCACATCACCTTGTGAAACTGAAGAGGTGAATGCCTTGGTTGCTTTACTTTCTCACAAAACCAATTTCATTGGGGTTTTAACTTTCCAGTAATCTTTTTAGCCTTGTTTTATCAATCAACTCATTTAAGTTAAATGTTAATCCACATAAGACGATGTTATAACGGCGTCACATATATATGACGACCCAATTTCATTTCAAAAAAAAAAATTTATCTAATTTTCAAAACTTAAGCCACTTTTTTTAAGTTTTGTCTCTTAGCTTTACACATCGTATTAAGACTAATCCAAGCAAGACGATACTTCAACAGCGTCACATATATGTGACGTCCTGATTTCGGCATCTGAAAAGTTAACACTACGAATATGTGGTGGATGTTTCTCGATTATCTAGTGCCAGTGACTATTTACACCACAAACGGATAAGATAGTTTTATTTTGAAGGAGGTAATTTTTTTCACTTTCTCAGCTTTGAGCTGTAACAATGGTGGTCGATTTTCTCTTGAGGTAGATGCAGGATTCCAAATGCAGCGACTGGACAAAAGCGGCTGTCACTCAATAAAATAGACAAGCCTTTGTTCCATCAGGAGGCAGAACAGAGGGAGGAGGGGAATGGGAAGGGGAAATCCTGCTCTCCCATTACGATATCTCAAGTGGATGTCTGGAGCACTCCTGGAAACAGGTTCACGGAAGTCTCCTCTACTTCCACCCAGCTAAGGACAGTAAATCTGTTTTCTTTTCCTGCAACTTGTCAAAATGTTGCACAGTCAAGTTCATACAGCGCTTCCCTCCATCTTCCCGTTGCCAGGGTGACAACGCGTACATGAAGAATGATGAGATGGGTAGAAGCCGTCAAGACAATATCAACTGCTATTACCTTTTCTACTAGAGCATAAAAGTGCAAAAACTTCTTAAGTATCTCTATAATTCCATTTTTTGCGAGAAAAAATATTTGATCAGAAATGTAGATGAAAAATATTTGTTTCGGATGACTCAGGATGGACACCTCCTCGAGGGTGTGCCAATCAGGCAGTCCTTTCCCTTTTCACCCCCGTCCCTCGGTAGCATTCCCCACGGCCGAAGCATAATACTGCAACAAACCGAAGAACTCACACGTAAAGGCCCCATTCCTGGAATCACTTAGTGGACCAGAAGTTGTATTGGCTGGAAGAGTTCTTGACGTGTTGGACGCGTAGATTTTGCGTTGAGCTGGTGACACTGCAGACGACCATGGTGGAAAGGTGGTGGAGGTGACACCATTCACTCCTCGTGGAAGACTAACTGGACGCGAAGAGAGAATTCCCGAAGTGTAGCCAGGTCGAGGAACTGTCAAAAATTTACAACAACAAGAAGAAAAAAAGGAAGAAAAGACGACTCAGCAACTACCGCATTTGGGATTAAGTAGACAATTCCTTCAGTCAGATGGTTTAGAAGGACCGCCGGAAGTCATGGAGGTGAAAAGTTTTAAACAAGGATAAAAGCATGCAAGGGTTAAAGCCAAACAACGTAGGACGAAGAAGGCAGAGGGAAGAAGAAGAAGGAGGAGGAGGAATGGATAGCGAGGATGAAATCAGACAATCAACGCTCACCTAGAGTCGTGCTAGATTGAGCAGCTCCTACAAGTAATAAAGGCAGTATATTCTCATCAAGAAGGTGGGATAGAAAGGCGTCCGATGAATCAGTGAAATACACAGAGGGTTATAAATTGGTCAAAAATTCCTGAGAAGCAACTTTTTAGTGCAAATTTGTGGAGGGATATGAGATGTGCCAACCAATCAGGATACAGGTGGAGATTTTTGAAGGCAGAAGAATAAATATCACCAAGGTAATAGGAAGGAGAAGGATGTGGAAGAAGAGAGAGTGAAGATGAGCCGATGCTTTCTTTCCTCCCGTCCTAATTCAGTTTCTACGTCTAAGGCCAAAGGCATAAAATGTGAGATCATGTGTGGTGCCGTCTTGAAATGGAAGCCCACTTTCTTTAGACTGATTTGCCAGTCATCCGCAGAAGAAGTTCGTCTTGCACACCCTACAGATGGATCTAACTACCTTGGGGTAGACGGGTCTCACACCTTCAGCAAGTGGAGTGCATCGCTTGCGGATGGATGATCCCTGAGGAGTTTGAAGCTCCAAAGCCACCTCCCATTACGGGTCACAGGAGGTGGAGAAGAAACTGACAGTCTTTTAAGCTTCTTGTTATCCGGTGAGGCTTGACAAGTGATAACCGTTTTTCTAACTCACAATATCAACTGACGGTTCGTCTCTACCTTTTCTAAGGATCTTCTGAAGCGACTCATCACTAGACAACACACGACACACACACGTCTCTGCAAGTTTTAACATATCAGTGAACCTGAGCTGCACCTGGATGAAAACGGAAAAGAGGAAATCGTTCGACATTTTTTGTTCCAATGACCGAAGAAAAACCATTTATTTCCTCCACTTTTGAATACTTCAACCTAGCCGGGAAACATCTTTATGGCCTGCCAATGTCACCTGTCAACACAAATGGAACTTATTAAAAGATCCTGATGTGACAAAAAATAGACCGCCTTTTTCTTGTCCGCATATCTATCGATGAGGAAATATGCAGTGAATACAGAAGTTTCCGGCGGTCTCCAAACCCACACACACGGTCATTAATCACCGGTGGGAAAGTCGTCCGCACTGTGTCTCTTATCACAAACAGATAGAGAGGGAAAGAGAGGATGGAGGTGGAGGAGGGGAGGGGGAGGCGATTGGATCACATCATGCAAATGCAGGGGAAAACAAGGTAGGATCTACACACACACACACGCGCATACAGAGCGCAGATGCGGGTTATAACAAGCACCCGAGTTTCAGTAGATGAATGGGCGGGCGGACGAGCGAGCGAGGGACTGGAACAAGAACTTATTGTTCATAGTGTTGCCCGGTTGGTAGGTATAAGGCAACTTACTAATCGGTGAAGTGGAGAAGTGGTCTCTCGTGCCGGTAAGGCCGTCTCTCATCTCACGTCTCAGAGTGGAACGGGAGGGTGCTATTGGACAGTCAAAAGTCAAGGTCAACTCAACCACAAGCACGCGCACACACCCACATACAACCTTTCATAAAATGTTTCACCATCCCCCCCTTCCTGCTCTTGAGTAATATGGACTGACTGTGGATGGATAGAAAGGTAGACGCACAGTGTCGAGGACAACGTCTAGAACTCACGTGCTACAGAACGGAGAGAATCAAAGGTCTTTTCGCGTCGATCTGGAAAGAATTGGGTCAAAATTTCTCAATAGATCTTTTGTGCATAAAGCTGGATTTGTCGTTCTTTCCTGCTACGATGACGGGGGGAAGAAAATCCTTCCGGCCTGTCGAATCATTTCAGGTGCAATCGCATACATTGAAGAGGAGCTCAGAGAAGACGCCTGAGGTCGCCTTGATGTCTACTATCCCGAACAATGACTACTTGTAGACGCTGGCAAAATGTCAGAAGTTTTCAGGTAGCTTCCCATTCAATAACCGGAGCAGTGCAAAGGAAGGAGGGGGGCAGAGGCTGGATGACTTCCTGTTTGTGTAAATTTTCTAGCTTAATGAATTTGGATTACCGCCACACCATCCTTCCTCCCTTCCACACATATTTCTGCTTATTCAGATTAAAACCGACTCATTGGTGTAAGGTGATTCCGATTTATCCCCTCTCCACACCCCTGGTGAAATTACAATGTCGTAATTAAATGTCCCCAAGTTTTTTTTCCTTTCCATAAACAAAAAAAGGAAAAAGAAAACCTACATGCGAAACGATGATTGGCGTAGCGAGTGCTGTAGGGAGGCTCGAAATTGGCACTAGGTGATCTTGAAGCCGAAATGGGGTCAAGGTCGAACGAACTCGTCTTTTGACGTTTTTCCTCCTCTTCCACATATTGTGCCACTGCCTGTTATAGAAACAACAAGTTGTTCTTTTAGGCAACACATAGCATTTTTTGCTCCTTGTCACTTATAAGTCTAGTTTTAAGGAATAATTGAAGCGCCACCCCCGTTGGGATATCCGTAAATTGATTGGTTGGTCACTAGGGGAGAAGAAATGTTTGAAACAAGATAGACCAGCAATGGAAGGACTGATAAAACTTGTTCAACCTTGAGTAATTTGATGGGGGCCTTCAAAAGGAGCGAGGACCCGATGTTATTCAGGAAAATGGAAAAACAGGAAAGATGTTTGAGTGCTACCAAGGCGGTGCTGGAAGACTAAGTGTAGGAGATTATGGGGGCAGGCGGACGGCTGCCGGTATCTGGTCGATGTTTCTACTGACATCTCGGACAACTCCAAATGATCGCGTACGAAACCGTTAATCATCAACCGGAGCTCTAATGGCTCCAAAAGAAACTTACCGGAAGAGACTGAAGTCTACACCCACGATGGATCAGAAAAATTAGGAAAAGTCATATTTGATGTCAAGATAGGAAATAGCACCTGGATGAGGCATCAGCGATAGGAGACAATGACAGATGAGCCACGTTCAAACTGATTGAAGAAAACCAAATTGATGGAGTGTTGAAAACACGACACAGGGGACAAGAAGAGCTGTAAAAGTCTTCAACGAGCAGACACGCTACTCAGACAGTCAAGCTGTCATCGCCCTCGGCTAATTTCCCTCGGATCTTCGACAAATTTTGACAGATCTAACATTGCAAAAGTACTTTAAGCTGTTTACAACCGGGTGTCGAAGCTTCTTGTGAATTTTGTTGGACAGGAATGTGTTAAACACGGCGGTAGAACGTACCACCTCAAAGCAGTCCATTGTAAACTAGCCCCCTCTGGCGACAGATAAATCAGGACCAGATAGAGGGAGTCCACCAAAACGTCCATTCTTGATAGTAAATTCTCGGCATTTGACAACTGCACATGAAAATGACAGTCAGTAACCTCAAAAAGCTGGGTAGAAATAAAAGTGACTTTAGCCAGCCAAAAAGTCGTACTCGCAACAAATGTGAAAGATCTTCGTGGATGATAAATTCACCTTTTTGTAATCATAAAACTTAGGAAATTTACAATTGTACCTTAAGGAGCCGCCAATTTTTATGTACCACTAGCGTCACATATACGTGACACCCCAATTTTTCATTCCACCTACGACACTGGTAACAACAAATTGAAAGTTGTAAAAAAAAAAGTGTTGAAGAAGAATAGCTAGTTGCTTTGTAAGCCTTTGAATTGGTCAATTCGATCACGCGAGTAGGAATGTCCCTCTTTGGACACAAAGGGCATCTGAGTGGCCATAGTGGACAATTTGTAGCATCGTATAAGAATCTCAACCAACGCAAGTGTCAAAAAAGGCGAAGGAAAGACCACACATGCAGCATAATTTTGATGCCAACCTGAAATAGCCCGCCAAAATGTTAATTGAGTTGCTGTCAATTGAAACAATCTGTGTGACCGAGCTGCTTGGCCAGGTTGGCTGGCTAGCGGGCTGACCGGTTGGAGGAGTAAAATTGATGATGGCTACATAGTAAGTACGCCATCTCCAACATCCGCTGCTAAATTGTGCGTAAGCTGGTGAATCTCCCCTTCCTGCTCTCTGCCCCTCTTGCTCTCTCGCTCGTCCCCATCCACACACACACACACCCAAAGTTGCTGCTGTGTTGTCATAAAAATATTTTCCTATAAACCTGTGCATTTTTGCAATCACAGAAGCATAAAGTCCCCTCTGCCTGTGATTTATCACTTGTTACTCCACCACCGAGTATTGAATCATAACACAGAGGGAGGGAGAAAAACGTAAACACAATATGAAGTTTCACTTTTGGTGATTGGATGAGATAACGGTGGGAAAAAAGTGAGGAAAGAAGGCAGGGGGATTATTGTTGAGGGTTCAAAGATGAGAGCATCCTTAATACGTAGTGTGGAACATCTACCTTTCAAATTCTCTAGCCAGTCTATATGCACGGTGGACTGGGGTAGGTGCTCCGGCGAGGTATTCAAAGTTTCAACTCACCACAGTTGTTAAAAAGTGGCACCGCCACTCAACTACGGCGATATGCCAAGGTCTCGGTGATGTCTGGAGGTAAAGGCCACCGGGAAGAAAATTGATGAGGTCATATTACAGGTCGTGTTTTCAGATCCTTCGGCACGATGATTGGCAACTGTCACTATCATGTCGCCACCTCCTCACTGGCGCAATGGGGGCCCCCCCTGAATTAAGGTGTCATTACTACCCTCACCATATGTCACGGACTTCCTAGTGTCTGACATCAAGACATTTCACAGTCGGTGTCACGACTGACAATGACCTAGTGAGATGCGAGCACCGATAAAGGGGGATCAAAAAGTCCTTGAGAAGAGAATATCGCAACGCTTTGTCTATCTGGCAGGTTTATCAACCTTCAGATATAAAGTAGAAAAGATGGGGACTTCTTCTGTGTCGTGTTTACGGGTCCAACTGCAAACGCGCGCGTTTTTTTGTTTAACTCCACTTAAAGTCGTTCCCATTAATGTCTCCCATCTGCCACTATCTCGTTCTCCCAACACCTCTTCTTCAGCCCCACCATCACCACTTCTCTTGCCCTGTCCCATCTCCCTCCCCTCTCTATCGCATTCTCCGACCTAATGGGATGTGAAATTGCATAAGGTTTTTTAGGTTTAAAAATCAGCAGACAGTGAAAATTCAACTAATCCAGCTCGGACGGATGAGACTGAAGGAGAAATATACTCTGCTCTCTGCAGATTGGTTACAAGATGGTCGGATATTTCTGTTTTTTTTTTACTTAAAGCGCTCGGACTGAAGTTCCATTTGCCTCTGAATTTAAAAAAACTTGGCCCAGGAAGGATGGATGTTAGAAGAGTGGGTCTGTCAAGGTTTGGGTGGATCCCGGAGGGATAAGAGGGTGGGAACAACAGTGGTCATTTTCCCCACAAGCATATGTAGAGCGAAACAATGTAAAGTGGTCCAGGATTGATAAGTGGATGGATAGAGGATAGATGGGTGGATAGATGGATGAATATGGAGTAAATTGACAAAAGTATGGAAAGAGAACTGATTTTTCAACTTAATCTGCTCAAAGAATAATTGCAAAAAAAACTCACCGCCGACATCCCCGAGTTGCCAGTGGTACGTTTCAGTGTGTTGATCTTGCTCTCCACACTCGTAGGTGGTGCATCCTTTTCGGGCGATAAGGAGTGCACAGTGCCGGGTGATAGAGTCCGCGTGTCGGAGCTCGATTCCTCCGATTTGGTGATTGTCCTACCATCCGGCAAAGTCCCACTCTTCATCGCTTTCTCCCGTCCTACAATAAGCATCACCACCTGTCAAATCCAACCTTTTTGAAGTTGACTTTTAAAGACGAGAGATGGGAAAAAGCAAGTGGGGGAAGGTTCTTAAGAAATGAGTGGTGAGAGGGCAAATGCCAAGTCTCAGGAGATGATAATAAACTTCGGAGTCTGCTAATCTGCTGTTCTTCGCTTGTTTCAGGTAAGTTCAATGAACGCGCCGACGAACTGGCTAACTGGACAGAGTGGAGGAGTTATGATGAGAAATGGCTTTGTTGCTTCAAGGTTCGTCGAGTGACCGAGCACAGCACTGGTCATCTCAAGCGATCCACAGGTTCGAGAAAGCCATGTTGCGAAAGTTATGAGACCCGTTTACCTTGAGACACTCCTTCTGTGGAAAACTAATGAATCATTCAAGATAACACAACGCTTGATCTCACACCTCACGTCGCATACATCATATCTTAGACATTAGACGTCAGAATTGAGGTAAGACTGGAAAAAAGGAGTCACCAGCCCAGCTCCATTTTTTTGCATTCACTTCAGGGTTCAAGTGCTGCTTCTCAGCCTTTTTTGACAGTAGCACCAGTCAATCATTCGATCACTTATGAAGTGGGGAGGAAAGATGGACGATAATGCTGAGGTAGAAAAGAAAAGCGAATTCGCCCCATCTTCTGGGACATAAAAGCACCAACTTTACTTTGCCTTATGATCGGACTCGCATAGGGTTCAGCGTCCACTTCGTACAGTCTCCTCCCTCCATTCGTGCTTCCGGTACAGTCAATGTGTGATGAAAAGACGCTACTCCTTTCGCACAGGTTTCACTTCCTGCCGACATCTGACAAACTTCACATCAAAGTGACAAATTTGACAGGTAGCAGCTAAAGCAGCCGCACTACCTGACAGAACAAGTCGTTACACTACACAGTCACACAACTAATTACGGTAGCTCTCTCCGCTTTCGGTTTCTTTTGACGTGACTACTCAGCGTTGATAGAACTACCAAAAGTGTTTCCTTTAAAAGCTTTTTAAATGTTTTTGCAATCTACCCGAAAGCGAAGATAGAAAAGAGGAAAGGAGTGAAAATAATCCGGTGTCGTCTTTCCTCCCGTCTTAACGCAGTTTTGAGGTCTAAGATCCTGGGTGTGAGGCCGTGTTTTGTGCAGTCCTGAAAGAACAGAACCCTTCGAAGTCGGCAGATCTCAGACCTTCATCAAATGAACAATTATGGGGTGAGCTAGTGAGTGGACCCCATGGAGGTGACTCCCGATTTGCTGGGCCACTCGAAGAACGTCGAAGCACTAAAGCCTTTTAGCATTAACTATCCTCCACTCCGTCAGCCAGTCAGTCAGCAGACAAACTGAAACATACATCTTGTTTGCCGAAACCTCAAATCGGTTGACTTTGACACTCTGTCAGTTATTAAGCCTTGTCAGGTAACGCCTACCACATTCGCTTTCCTGTTGAAGTAGGTTTTTAAAAGCAACTATTTTATCTCTCAGGCAAAGTAATATGACGACAACTTTTTGACCCTTTGGCCGCGTTGAATATCTTTCTTTGAAGTACGTAATTCTTCAGTGGCAATGAAAATAGGGTCAATGTGTTTACGTTATATTTCCTTTTTGTTCTGCAAATTCGCTACCTATTTAGTCACAGAAGGAACCAACATTTTGACGAAAATTGTGTAGGAAAATTACTCTTCTCTTCTGAAACAAAATCACTTTATTTGGTTAGTCTACATGAAAGAAAATCGGGTTCCTGCGTGGCAATATGATGGTGTGCGTTAATTGGTCTGTTTTGAAGAGAGCGCTCGAATGCCACACCGCTATTGGTCAGATGCAGAGCCGAAGTGAGCATGAACCGCACCCTCGTGAATAAATGGTTTGCTTGACTCATGCGCATTTGGCAGCCCACTCTGGGTGGGGGTGGAGGGGGGTGCGAAGGAGGGGGCGGCGAGTGGGCGAGCGATCGTGAATTACCGACCCGAGCAAGAAGGCGCCATAGTCAGTGAGAATTTGCATACCACCACCGCCAACCAAACAGTCGTGGGTGCTTTCGTACAAATTGGCGAGAAAGCACGAATTCGCCTCATTTCCTTGCTTTGCCAACAGAGTTAGGAAAAGATGAGGGTTTTTATAAAATTAATTGGAGTTGTGAATTTAAAAGCGGAGAGAAAAAAGGTCGCAGCATTTATTCCAACCCTTATCCGGCACCACAAATGTGTGACATGATGCAACCTGAACCGGATCGTATGACCTTCTCTCGATGTTTGCTGCAAGCTTTATCGACTAACAATACCGTAGGTTAAATGTCTAGGCCAGTAGGCAAGTTAACACTTTCTTTGGCAGAATTTGTTTCGGAAGAAAAGCGACCACCATCAGGTGACATGGGCATTCCTGAATATTTTAAACTGGCCAATTCAACAGTTTCTAGGAAAAAAACAAAGGCATAAAAGTTGCGACATTGTTGTTTAAAACTCAACCAATCTGTTCGTGAGCCGTGAATTGAAACAAATAGGGGATAAGGCCCGCACATCACGTATTTGTGACACCAGGCGGGATTAAAAATCAGAATAATATTACACCCAACTGAAGTCGGTAGTTAACGCAGTTAAGCAAAAGAAAAAAGTAAGATTTTACAATAATGTAAGAGAACTATGCCAATTATTTACTTCATTAGAACCAATCACGTGAGCGCAAATTCAAAAGAAACAACGAATTAGCATTGAGGAAACAGAAAAGTGCTGACAACTTCACTGGATTACAAATTTAAATTCATGCTCAATATCAGTGATGTATTTGTAATGATGTAAGTGAATTTTGGAAGTTTTTTTGACCCGCATTCCAGCCAATCAGATTTAAGCAGGTTTGGAGAAAACAACGAATCACATTCAAGGGAACGAATTGATAGGTATTCATTCAAGTAATTTATTAAAATGTTGAGAATTTGAATGGGTCGTAAAGATAAGTCAATTTCTAAATTTGAAGAAGCTTCTCAAGTAAATTTTTGTGATATTTGGAGTAGATGCGGTAACAAAGCAAACCCCTATCCCCCTCCCTGGAAAGGATTCCCGTGATAAAATTACTCCAAGGTGGAAGTACCACGATTCCAATCACCCCTTTCTGATAAGGAATTTCGGGCATTAGGCAATTGCATATGCGGCAGAATGCACACTTACGAGATAGAAGTGAGGCAAAAACGGAGGTGACTGGAGCTACAGGTATTATTTTTCTTGCCTTGAGAGACAAAACAATTATCATTGAGACCGTATCTAATTAAATAGAAAGGTTTGCCAATAATACATGCATCTATCTATATATACTTTCCCTATCAACAGCCTCGACATTTAAGGGAGTAGAATTAATCAAATTTTGACACCTCGACGACAGACGGTGACAGAGTATTTCCCTCCCTCAAGTATGGAACCCAAAATGTCCAAATTTTTTACTCATCGTCACCAATGTTGGGCAAAATACAACAACAACACCATCAGCACGAGTGCGTAGCCTAGGCGTCGACTTCCCTTTTATATGAATGCTTGAAAAGGTTAAAAAAGAGGAGGAGTAGGATGAAGACTACAAGGAGGGAGGAGAGGGCAGTAGATAGGAGATTCTAATCTTAGAAAAGAGGCATGAAATTCAATCAGATGTAACCCGGAATATGCATGTGTGCATGTATTTATTGGAGAAGAAATCTGATAGGTACCTCGGGAGTAGCCGTGAGAAAATATGTGAACAATTATTTAAAGGCAAAAGGATGAAATGATTTACCATGAGTGGAGAGAATTTTTCAAGTAGATAAAGAAAGAGTGAAAAATTTTACGATGCCACAACGAAAAAAAGAATATGAAAATTGAAAGCAGAAGCTGCGTGGTGTGGTGTGGAGCGCAGTGGGGAAAAGAGGATCGAGGGGAGGGCAAATTGGGGGGAGGAGGAAGGCGAGGGTGGGGATTAAATTTTTACTGGAGCAAATATCCCCATAAAAATGGAAAAAGCAAAAATTTTACTGTTTCCACTTTAAAATTTATTAAAGTTCTGATGAAAAATAAGCCATTTACAGAGGAGGTTGCTAAATGATTACTTATTATTCCGCCTCGTACCAATCGAAATCCGCCTAGCCATTGTCACAATTTTTGAGAGGCCAGGAAAGGCGATAAACGTCATTGAGGAAAAGAAGAGATACAAAGGGTAAAGATGAAAGTGAAGCAGCTTCTATCACCCTCTTTCCAAAAAATTCAAAAATTTTCTAAGAAAAAGTTTTGAAATGGGATGAGGTCTTACTGAACCTTGGAAAATGAGGACCTGCTTCCATCCGACTGACTTGTCCTGGATGTTTCTGAGTAAAATGTGATTCTATCCACACCTTTTTGTTGTAATTAGTAGGTAGACCTAAGACTTACTCCAACACTACACGTTCAACAAGTGAAGGGTGGTTAATGATGTCCTCTATACACACGATCCATGTACTGCCTTCACTAGCCTAAAGTATGGAGGGTATGGAGGGTGGAGAGTCCCTCCCTTGGGAATCACCAATGATGCATTCACTCACCTAATGCTACAAAACATCAATTTCTTCTCATCGTAAGTTAGCCAATCCATCACTCTCTCCCCACCACTCCGCACCTCCGAACCTCTATTCCGCCCACCTATACTCTCTCATTCGCTCACTCAATCAGGCAGTCAGTTAGCAAACAATCCAAGAACTGCGGCGCTTGTTTATAATTTACATACATGAAAGAAGTTAAGATCCAGTAAATAACCTTTGGAGCCTCTTATCACCTCTTAATTGAAGAGGGTGGATCCACTTTGTTTACGTTCGCATGCTACATTCCCAGGAGGTGGATATGTGCACCACCTGTTGCAGCATTACCACCCACCGTAATTACCAGTTCACTTTTCTTTGACTCTTTCACCTTTACCAACTATGCAACACCATTCTTCACTTTCCACCTGATGCAACTACTGTTGACCCTATTTGAGTAGTATATTCCACCACACCAATTCACGCCTCCAACAAGCCTGACAATTTCTAATCACATGCATTAGGTTATTCAACGGAGGTCTCGAAATGACAGGATGGTGGTAGAGAGAGGAGACACAACAATCACACCGATAGACTGACGCATACCCATACTCGATGATCCATTTGACACGTCCCTACAAATCGTTGTCTTGACCGCTCTCGACAAGCGCCTGAAATTTCTCGTCTACCTGATACATCATACTTCTTCGATTGTTGGGGCTTCCCTTTCCAAAAATGACTTCCAAGATTGTTCCACCACTCATCCTGTTGTGATGGCGCGTAGCCAATCGGATGCTTGGACCCTTCCACGCCCAAATTTCATCTATACGACAGCGTCCAACTTTTGACCCTACCGAGAAACGATTTTTGGGGAAAGGGATGTAAACACCCAGAGAAAGACGAATTTGTGGTCCTGGGAAACACCCACACATAGGCAGACAGACTGGTAAAAACTTTCTGTCTACAATATCCAGTGGGCAGAGTGGACAATAGTGGGGAGAATAGAGTGGTCAGAACGAAGTAAGCATATCAGGCGGTTCGAAATGTTTCTTGTGGCAAATTATAGATGCAGAAGTTAGTTATTTTTAAAAAAAACTACAAAATCTTTTTCCATTGACCAGATGTTGACATGACAAGGTGAAGCTTCCCGACCTCAGAGGGCGAATCAGATCAATCAATTACCGGAGGTTTAAATTAGGAGATTAACCTGATCTCTTTGTTAGAGAAGAGAAAACCTTAGATTTAACACACCAAATGCTCCTTTTTAGGCAATTTGGAGGAAAATGGGGGTTGGCAAAAGGATAATATTGACCAAAATAGACCCTTTTTTCCTGCCTCTTTTTTGTGCCATTGTCTTCCTGCATTGACATCACCTATAGAGAGAGAAGCGAAGCACAAATTGGCAGTACTTCAGCCCTCCTGACACATGACACTTGTTGCTCTGCATGTGACACCCTCTTCACATGTGGTAGCTTCCCTTAAACAACAAGGAAGGAGGGCATTTCGGAAGTGGTAATTCTTATTTCGAGGCCTTCTTCTAAGAAACAAAAGAATCAGCCATCGTAAACATCAGATTCACCTGGCATCAAATGATATGAGGGGTAGATAAAAGAGAGAGGAAAAAAAAGGATAGTGGGAGACCATAATAGCAGGCTTCAACCACATTGCGTCTATCAAGTAGGGTTCCCTTTGTTCTAAAAGAAGACAATTCTAGATTATCGGGGTCAAGGTCATCAAATGAGCACACTAAAGGAAGGAGAAGGTACCAGAGACTTTGCATAAATGGCAAAATACGAGGCGAGTTTATGTCATACCGAGACTTTAAATCTGCCTCAGATAACAAAGAGAGCCTTTCAACGTGACCCTCATTAGGAATGAAGTGGACTTGGGACAGCCTGCTTCACCTCAATATTGACGCGTAAATCCACAACGTTCCATCCGGATATCAGCAGATGTGATTATCCGATTGAGATAATTTTCGGTTGCATTGTCAGCAAAATTGGGGTCACTCTGTGTGCCAACTGGCCGAGGACACACATGTTCATGCTTTTACTAGGGGTCACAGATATGACAAAAAAGATTCGTCTCCTGTGCTTGTCACCTTCATGACGGGTTATGCGCCGATAAAATCTCTCAAATCAGACGACCAACACACTATCGGCTAGGACTGTAGGCTGGAAACGAAACCATCACGTCTGAGATTGGCATTGACTTATAAACTTAGTACTACCACCTAAAGTGTCTTACTAGTGACCTGCCAAGATGCCATCGGCTTGTAACCGTCCTAGTCGTTTAGCATAAATTTCGCCCAAACATCCAGTTGATAGGACAAAACAAGCCTGTCATCACTGCCTGTAGTATCACTCAGACATCATCCACTCTATCGTATAGCTCGCAAAACCCTAAAGTTGTAACAAAAGTGCCACACATGAAAAGTGGGGCACCGAAACCGTGACAAATCACTGACAACCTACAGAACCTTCGTGCCTTAGCCTTCACGGCCTAGAAGTAAACGGTCAAACATTCTCACTAGCGTGCTACTCCCGGGTTATACTGAGGCAAATCCCTTGAACTCCTGCGTTCGGAAATGTCGTTAGGAGAGTTTACAATACTAAGGCCTCACTGATATCTACCTCCAAGGGTACAATGGAAGCCATGGATAAGTGCCACCTGAAAAAGCCATGTAGTCATTTTGTAAGTTGTCAAGCCGGTGAAAGATCATAGAAGCAACACGACAAGCCACATCGAGACATTGGTGAGTTGTCAACCTCCTGCATGAAGAAGTTTGCTTATAGGTGTTCTTACACAGCCCATACCAGCCAGGAGTAAACGGATGATCGAAAGGTCCCGTATTCATGGTGTATCTCCCAACCCTTTGGATTCAGATTCCAACTTAGAACGACGTTTGGAAGGGTTCTGGAAAGTCTGCTCTCAGCACTCATATATCCTTAGATAATCGCATGCAGTCGACTCGAAATGCATCTCAAGACTCGCAATTTTTTCTTTAACACAAAGTTACATCAAAATATGCCATTTTGTTAGGCTATTTTCTTTAGAAGCAAAAAAATCCTCTTTTATCAGCAACTTTTTTCCCAAATATTTGATTAGCCTAGCATATTCAACACTTCATGCTAATTGGATAACTGACGTGAGTTCTCTTTTTTGATTGGCTACAACAAAGAGCCATACAGAAACAACCGGATACTTCTCTCTCATTAGAGACCTCAAAAAAAATGTAAAATCAACTTTGAGCCAGTCATTTTCGTTCAAGAAGTTCACTATGAAACCAGAGCCATCTGTAAGGTGACCAAGAAGCATATGAAAGGACCAAGCCCTAGATACGCTCGAGAATCCTCCACCTATATTTCATACACATCTATTCGGCATGACCGTCTGGTAATGCTAAGAAAAGGTGAGAACCATCACCTGAAGGAGGGAAAAGAATAAGCAGAGTAGTTCCCTCGCTCTACAAGATCTCCTCAAGGTTGAATTTTGAGATAATACGTGTGGAGGCGATATACTGCCTTGGGGGAACAAATATAGGACTTTAGTCCACCTAGTGGACGTGTTTGAATAAAAAGTGTTTCCGACTAAACATTTCTGTCGCATCTGGTAGGCAGATGCCGGCCTTAATAAGATGTCTCACATTAAATAGGTGATCAATCCCTTCTGAAGTCCACTATACACACGATCCATGCACTGTCTTCTCACATTTAATCTCTACTTCACTAGCCTGAAGTACGGAGGGTATGGAGGGTGGAGAGTCACTCCCTTGGGAATCAACAATGACGTATTCACTTGCCTAATGCCACAATGCATAAGTCCCTCTTCATCACAAATAAGTCAATTCATCATTTCCTCCCTACCAGCCCATACCTCTTACATCTCCCTCTCTCCCTCACTCAGTCAGGTAATCAGTTAGCAAACAAACCAAGATCCAAGGATCTTGTTTATGATTTACATATATAAAAGAAGTTAGGATCTAGTGAATAACTTTTGGAGCCTTTTATCATCTCCTAATTGATGGGGGTGGATCCACTTTGTTTACCTTTGTACATTACGGTCCCAGGTGGCGAAAACATGCATCAATTGTTTCAGCATCATCGTTTAACCTAATCACCACTCTACTTTACTCATGATTCTTTCATCTCCACCGACTGATCCACACGACTCTATGCCTTCCACCTGATGCAACTACTCTTGACCCTTTCAACAAGCTTGATAGCCTCTAACCGCATTCATCGGTTTATTCACTCGACGTCTCATCAGAGAGGATATCAAAATGACGAGAATCGACAACAGGACTGATAGACTGTCGCACAAGCATGCTCGATGGGCCACTTAACAGGTCCATACTAGTCGCTGTCTTGTGCAATATCGACAGCTTCATAAGCCTTGACGGTCATCTGGAAAGATAAGTAGAACCAAACCTTCTGGTAAGGGAAGAAAGTGGGCAGACTGATCTATCGGGTCGAGTGGTCGACAGATACAGAGGGTTCCAGGACTTTCTATAGGTCACAGTCCATACAACCAGAAGAATTAAAGAAAAAATTAGGAGTTGATTCATCAAAAAAAAACGAGCAGATCGTAGGACATTTGAGTGAGAATGTTCAATTTATCTACTCTCCATTTACTGCGTTTAATATAAGTGTCACGAATATGTGACACACAGGATTGCTTGACTCGACTCGGCGGCACAAACATGTGACGCGGGCTGATTATCACTTTGTGATAACAGGATTCAATAAACTGTATCGCAAGAAGATATCAGATGGTCTCTAGATCTGAGAATGACTACAGCTGGAGGAGTAAAAGAATTAACCACTCACTTCGATCAATCATAACAACCGCAGGAGACGGTGGCGCCGGCCAATCGTATCGGTCAATAGCGGGTTCACTGTCGGCGTCAGGAATTTTGGCACCCGGATAGGCAGCCAAGCGTCTGGCCTCGGCTTGAGCCAAGACAGCGGCCTCCGGACTCACGGATCTGCCCACGCGTGGTGGTGATCGCATCATTGATTCAGCTAGAATTTAGGAATGGGAAATCAGATATTAATTTGGCTCGGGAGAGAGTTGGAAAACGTTAGAAGAGCAGAATTTAGCTAGCAAATCATGCACGGAAATGTGGTGAACAATTGTAGGGTTATTCTCTGATGTTTCCGTTTTGGAAGACCCTACAGGATGTCCAAAAAAGGATGAACTGTCCGCTGTGACGGTAAGCAAAATAAAGTTAACCGACCCGGAAGATTAGGGTGTAGCAAGCGTGTCTCTTGAATTGACTTGCGAGCCAGTACCACGACGGTCTGCTCATGCTACGTCACCAATAGCCAGCCCAAATGTTGTGGGTCAGTCAGGACTCTCCCCCTACTCCCTTTAGGGACCCTTCAATTAATACGGCCAAAAACTGTGGTAGTGTAGTTATTTGGGATCGACACGGTGTCGTGACTATTGAGGTAATGGCGTCGAAACTCTACACAAGAAGACCTCCACAACAAGACATTTGAATGATGGTTGTACATCAGTGACAACTTCACATGTGGTGGTAGGGGTGGTTCTGTGCCCAAGCCACAGGAGGGGAGTCACTCCAGCGGATGAAATAACTGCTCCTAGATGTCAATGTTTCATTAGCAGAATTGATTGTTCACTTAAATCCCACTATGACCTAAATGACCCCCGTAAGTGGAAATTTCATGACCTGATACATCCTCACTGCATAAGAAGGTGAGGACACTCCAGATAAACGACCAGTGAGAAGCAAAAAATGCCACGAAAAAAAAGGACTCAGAGGTGAACTAAGGCCACACCTCCAAAGCGCTACTTTATACTGTGTGCCTCATTAAACGGTTTTCCACCGGTGAACAAAAATGCCATGGATAGGGGAGCAGTTAATTCCTTCACAAGGAGGAGGTAACAGGCGGAACCAATCGAGGTCTACGGAGGGCACTGCGATAGACAGTCAGCGTCGCAGCCCCTTTCAGTCCAATTGCCACGGCCACCGCTATAACGCCGGAGGGGAGTTAAACCCTCAAATAACCCATTTCGGCATATAAAAGTGCAATTTTTCCCCTTCTCAAATTTATTTACATCTCCTAATCCAGGTACTGAGTGAAATGGGTGGAATTTGAGGGCTAGATTACACAACAAAAGTACAGGGCATAAAATCGAATATAAAAGTACAAAAAAATATTTCCAAATAAAAAAACTAGGGGCAAAATCAACATCAAAAATCCGGAGGGGAGAAAAAAGGGCGGAAATGAATAATTGCATAATCAAAGGTGGTGGGAGTGGGGGGGAGGCGTATTGAGCAGACCACATGCATAAAAGCGGTGGGGAGACGCCTACCCCCTACCCCCCTCCCCCCATTTTATTTCAAATTAACGCCACTTGTCATTTCACCATGTAAACACCATAAATTAGTGTAGGGCACAGTGTCTCTTGGTACTACTCCGAGTACAAAGTTCCACTGCCACCGTTGAGGAAGGGAAAATTAGATCTGTCACACAGGAGTTAATTAACTGAGGTTTTGTTGTTTGGTCGAAATTTCGTTTTTTGACAGGAAATATGGTTGGCTGGCTGTTAAAGGCCTAATTAATGAAGGTTAAATCGACAGAGGGGATGTGCATGTCAATTTCTGAGGAGGCAAGGGGAGGTAGGAGGTTATCCCCTTGTTATTTTCAATTCATTAACCTCCTGATTTGCAACTTTTTGCCTTAATCTGCCCTACAGGGACAATGAAGCGCCTAACCGATCACTATGAACAGCAGGGTCTTCCTTAAATATTCATTATCCAGGTAAGTCAATCTTTGGGACGGTAACAACAACACCAACAACGAGGGAGATTACTTTAGTCACGCAAAAGCCTACAGCTTTGGAGAAGGCGAAACGATCGAAGGAGGGAGGAGTTGGCGGGTGAAAGGGGAGTCCCAGGTGTCACCAATTCAAAAAATGCAACAACACCAAGGCTAACGATAGAAGGAGGGAACAACCAACGATGGCAATAGAATGACAATAGCATTTTGCATTGGGGAGGGGAAAAAAACGACAGATAGAGCTCACCCAACACACGTATGCCTAAATGCACGAAAGAGAGTAGAGAAGAGCTGTTGCGATTGCCGTTGTTTCAATATAGGCTAAAAAGTAGCAGACGGAGGAATGAATCGACGAAATGTCACTTACCACGTCGACTGTTGACATTTGGAGTGGAATAGGAGGAGTAGGTTTCTAAAATACAGGAAATGGGGACTCAGATGACCAAAAGCAAATGAAGATCAAGTTTTACGCCAAAAGCAATAACGATGGATGGATGGATGGATGAATAGACAAACGGCCATAGCTGGTTCACTGTCGGATGCTTCACTCCAAGGGTGGTTGGATAGGCGGATGATGGAAGCAATCCGAAAACCATGGACGGTGTCATTCAAAGTGTGGTGGGTCGCTTGATAGCTGGTTCCATGCATACTGCTACGAGTACATCAATGCAGGGGTTAATTAATGAACTCAAACTCGCCGCCAGATTGACAAACGACTGGATAGTCGCATCCACTTAGAGTCGAAAAATTTGACAACACCTTTACAAAACTGCCCAATAAAATACCCTCTTCTCTCCACGTTTAATTTCCTCTCCCCCCCCCACCCCCAGGTACATCATGAAAGATCCATTCTCCCCTTCCCGTCCCGCGGACACTTTGATCCTAGGCGAGGAAGTATCAAACAGTTCTCCCTTCGTCGGTGCGGTAAACACCCAACGCTTCTGCCTGCATGAAATTTTCATACTTTTTCTCCACCAAAAAAAAAAAAAAAAAATTGACCGTCAATTCAATTTTTCGCTTTGCGTCCTGAAAATTCCTCAAAATGCCTCGCTTAAGCTGGAGAAAGAGAGCAGAAGGACATAACGATGAACAAATTTGCCTCATTTTCAAAGGTAGAGAAAAGTCAAAGAAAGGTGAGACATTGACTTCCATCTGAAAAGAGTGGGAAAAGAAATTTTTATAAGAAGCAATCAGGACAAACTGATGCTCTTAAAAACGGTGATGGCGTATCGTGGTTTGGTTCGGAGCCTTCAAATCATACCACCTACCTGTAAGCATTGTCATATGAAGATCAAAGAGGTTTCTTGTGGACAAAAACGCAAAAACTCTAACCCGTGAATATAACCGCAAGGAGACCTCAAGAACGGTGATGATGGGACGCTCAACCACTCACAAGACCCCAAGAAGTAAGTTCCGAATTCATCAGCTATTTATGTGAATATTTAAGTTAGTAGATAAAACAAATGGGCCTAATTGTTGGATCAAGGCGTACGCCGAACTACTGCACCTTGGGTAACAAGACAAAATGAATCAAGCTGCTCCAGGATGGTCAAGCAGCACTGACCCGCGAGTCCCGGTTTGACATGAACGACATGTTCCTTCTTACAGTTCTGCTACGCCAATTTATCATTCTCCCTAGACTTTTAACCACCAGCTCACAACTAAGACACAACACAAAGAAGCGACTTGGATCTAGACTCACGTGACTTGCGAACAATGAAGTTGGGAGGTGCACCAACACTTCGACCCGAGCTGAGCGCTCGTCCCATTAAACTTCCGGCAGGAGATAGCTGTCGATATCGTGTGTAACGATCCTTTTCGGGTCTGGCACCATCAACCTCACCGAAGACCTGTGCACAGTAGCGGTGATCCATAAACCCTCCACCTTGTCGTGACGTTGAATCCGCGGAACTGGTTGGCAAGGTGCGAGTTTGTGAGTGGTGAGTGGAAGGCATATCTCGACGAGAGAGACGCTGAGTGGAAGATGCACTAGCCGAGGGTGGTGGACGACGAATAAAAGCGGGGGTAGTGGTGGCAGAAAGAGGACTGATAGAACTGAGAAGATCAGAGCTGGTAACAGCAGTGTAGCCCTGTTCAGCTAGACGAAGGTAGGAGACAGGGTACTGGTGTCCATAGTCAACACCAGGTGGGCAGATTCGTCGCACGGATCCGAAGAGGAGTGTGGAGGCGTCACCAGAGAGGGTGTTCACAATAGAAGGTGTGGTTAATGCAGCGTCGAGGGAATAAGGCACTGCAGGGGTACCGCTTGTGCTGTACGTCACCGGGTAGCCTTCCATTGGCTATAATTCCAAGAGTAAGCAGATATCAGGGAAAAATACAGAGGGGATGAATAACAATGGAGAGCATGGATACTTTACGCGGACGCTTCATGCGGCAAGGCTACTCCCAAACTGACTGGGTTCTGGGTGTCACATCTACTCTCGGTTTGACACCCGCCCTAAACCACCACCGTGACAACAAGTTGTCGATGCGTTTTATCAGTCTGTCAATTCTTTTTGAGTAAGCGACATTAAAGGTGGTGTAACCGAAGCCGTCGCGATAAATCAAAGATCTTGACACCTGAGAGAACTGAGTGAGAAGATTCTTCCCATTGCAGCACAGCACAGACAAAAAGAAAGCAATTCAAAACTCTAACTGATTTGATCACGATGCCATTCTGTGTACATCTTTTACAGCTTTTGGCAGAGTGCCAAAGGAGAGGGCGGGGAGGTGGAGGTAGAGGAAGGGGTAAAGAGAATACTCAGAACTTTTACGCGAAGATGTAACAAGTAAAAAGGTATTTTAAGTGCCCTTCCCTGAAGAAAGGATTAGCAGAAAATTTCACTTTCTAAATGACATTTTTTGCTTTTTGTTTTTTTCTTTTTATTCCTTACCCCCCCCCCCACCCCCTACGTCACCGGGAATTCAAACAAGAAATTGCGCCAAAACAAAAACAACCATATTTAAAAATGGAAGATGATTGTACTCAAATCACCTGCCCTTGGAAGGGGAAAAAGAAACAGGTAAGGGTGTACGAAAGTGTGGAGAAGGTTTCTTCTCACGATAATGAAAGATGCAAAAGGGGCATTATCCCCACGAGAGGGAAAGAAGAATTTTCACACACCTTTAATGCGGTTTCATCACATGATCGACCTGTTTCTAGACCTTCTCACACATAAATACACATACAAACACATCCAAATAAATAAACAAAAGAGAGGAGTACATGTGAGCGCGTTTAGCCTCCTCGCCTTCCTTTTCCGTGAAATGAGAACGGGGATTTGTTTGTTTGTATGGCAAAGACTTTCAGGGCTATTTATAGAGCGCGCTCTTTCGAATCGCCCTAATCCTTTAAAACAAACTAACTACCCAAGTCTAGTCTCTACCATCTCAACCTAAAAGAAAGCAAGCATAAAGCAACCTCTGCAGTATTTCCCGAAAACAAAGTGAACAGATGAGGTGAGGGGGATGTGGGGAGAAGAGGGAAGATAGAGTGGAGAGGAAGTGAGGTAGAGGAGGTGGCACCGAAGAGGGGGAAGAGGCTGTAGAGGAGCGAAGGGTTGTGAGAGTGGGGAGACGGGAGTGGGAGCACATGAAATTTGTGATTATTGTCATCAAATGAAGCCAATTTCAACACAAAAGAGCCTCCCATTGTTAGCAACAACGGCAATAGGTGTGAAGAGAAGCAATGCTTACCGTGGTTTGCACATCTTGTTGCTTGGCGAGAACAGTCTCATCTCCAGAGTATAGGCTGTAGGTCGGGCTTTGGCTATGCTAAAAAGGTGAAAAGGAAGAATGACTCTTTAGTAGTCTTCTGCCATCCGGAGACTACGAAAACGACAGCAACTTTAGAGACATCGAGAAAACGAAAACGAAGAAGAGAACTGATGGATAGATAACGTAGACTAAAGGAACAAAAAGAGAATCTGTAAGAAAAGACCTTTTCCTTGAGAGTTTGGGGAAGTGGCCACTTTGCCCACCTGATGTGACCAATGATGCTCGAGTTGATCAAGTCAAATTTTACCCCAAGTGGGGCCTCCAAATAAAAGAGGAGAGAAGGGACAAGATAAGGCAAAAAAAATAACTTACATCAAATTTCTTCCCGATTCCGGAATCTGTACCTAAAATTAACAAAACAAAAACAAAGACTATTTAATGTCATGAAAAGGTGATAATCATCACCCCAGGATAAATACGGGTCTTCTAGGGTAATTTTTTACGGTAATGTGATAAGGGTTTGGGTTGCCTCATAAGAACAACGCTTTTGTCTACTTTTACAGAAAAAGATTTAACCTTCACACTTTCAAGTTGCCTTTAGATGGATCGAGTGGTCAGATGTCGGACAGGAAATGAGCGTATCAGGCATGGTATTCCAGGATCTTCTTCAAATTGTGAAGTAAACTTATAGGTAAATCATTTCGTGGTAGCAAATGCTACGTTTTTTCGGTGTGATGTCGCAATGTGTATGCCGAAAAAAAGGTACTTTTATATCACAAGACAATCAATCAATCATGTGGCACCCATGGGCCTGGTAGTTCACTTCCACCACTTTCCCCTCCCAAAGTAGTGCACATATAACCCAAGATAAACATCCCACCTCACCTTTATGACATTAAAATCCCATCAATCTCTCTCCTAATGCACATTTTAATTGTGAAAAACTCGCGTCACACATATGTGACATCAAAACAAATCTATTAATAAGGAATTATAGGATTGCTCAATTAAGTAGCCTATCGCCTACTGTCACTCCAAGCACCTTATTAATCAAGATTAGTGCAATTTGTGGAGGTTAGTGGTGTACATCTTGCTTAAAGAGCAACACTGCTTTATTCTTGCCCTCTCATTGGTCAAGCCAGTTGACCAATCAATGCTCAGCCACTAACTCACCACAACAGCCCCTTTGCCCCTTCCCCCCGCCCTCAATTTCCCTGCCCTCATCGTCCTTAGTGGATTTGCCTAAGTAACACGCACATATTCTAGCCATATTCTATGCCGGCAAAAATCCCTCCTTTCCCTTTACAGTGGTACAGCATTCCAGGAAGCATCTGTTTCCGCAGGAAAAAGGCATCTACCAACATCCAGGGGGTATTTTATGTCAACCGCTGTTTGCACTTTTGCATTCATTCAATAATTAATTAAGAATGTATCACTTACTGGCCATATCCGTCTCTCCAACATTTACAGTCAAAGCATCGGTTCCATTTGTCAGTGTGGTATTCTTCAAAGTCGATTCTTCCACCAGGGTTGAGGGAGCAGTGGATTGAAGAGTTTGTGAGCGTGACTTCTTAGAACGGAATAAGTCACCCAATCGACGCGGCAGAGAGGAACTCTTGGGAATCTTCACCTTCGGCGGGGACTTTTCTCGAGGCTCAACTAAAAGGTCTTGTGGGGGAGGGGTGGAGGAGGAGGAGAGCAAATTCTCAGGGGGATTTGAGGTGACCTCTTCCACTCCGGTACTATCTTCTTGTGCAATTCGAGGGGGAACACATTTCTCACAGTAGAAACGGTTGTTTAAAGTCACCGTCTTCTCACCCGATGATATTGTTCGACTGGAGAGAAATAGAAGGAGGAGATAGTGTGACTCCTGCCTTAGCCCCTGGGCTCATAAAACCCGGAAAGGGGTAAAATTTTCTTACTTTTTGTTTAGACAGGTAAGTAAATAAGGAAAAAAAACAAGGCACTTCAAATTTGGCATTTTTCTGACTGTTTTTTTCAAAAAACATAATTTACTAATCCTGTCACTTTGGTGGAGGATCGTCAACTCACTCCACAAGACGGTTGCCTTCAACATCACGCACACAGCAGTAGGGCATAGGCAAGGAAATATTTAAATCTGACGTTTTTTTTGCCAAAAAAGGAAGAATGAGGAGTATGTTTTTCCAGTGAACTTTTGCTAAGGAAATTAAGTTTCTTGTCCAGAATTAGTGACAAATGTAGCCTGTCAAAAAAATGATATTCTTTAGTGAAAAAAAAGTGGAAAAGAGGTGTTAACATTTTCGTCCTCCCGCTGCTCCCATTCTCACCCACCCTCCACCCCACGGAGAACTAAAAACTTGAAAAACTACTGGGAGGCGCTTCTTAAAACTGGATCAGAAGTACGGGGAATGCAAATTGGTAGGTAGTAAGTAGCGTTTTCTACCTCTTTCTGTGGAAAAAGGAAGGGAGAGGAAAGAGAAAAGCACTGAAGTCCATCAAAGATCACTCTTCTCACCCATTCCACATGTCCTCAGAGGAGACTGCGGAGTAGCAAGATCTTGGAGGCGCAAGAAATGGGCTTGAAAGGAAAGCGCCAGTTTCATGTAAGTCGATGAGAAAGTTGACCAAAACATGGGATACCTTACTCGGTCTTGTAGTCGAGATGAGGTGGTGAAGGGGGGAAGGAAAGGGGACACAGTCAAATCGAAACCCCTTTTGTTAGCTTTGTCCTTGATTTTTGGGGGAGGTGAAGAGGAAAGGCAAGTTGAACAGCCTTGCTGGGGAGGGAATTCGCATTTTAAAGCACCAGTGCGATAAGCGATGCGGTGCAATTCTACGTGACCATCACATCAACCAGTAAGCAAGAATGCAAAGTGCGGTGCCGAAGGTAGACGAGAGGACAGAAATAAATATGAACTGTGCACACACACACATATACATACATTTAAATATGCAGGCAGACGGTAGATAAGTAGATAGGTGGGCTAGGTAGGTAGGAAGGTACATGCACAACCAACATACAATGTCCTTTCGTGTACGCACACAACCTCCCAAATTCCGCGGATAGGCCCCGTGACACGCTTCATTTGGCTCTCAAGGCACAAATCTTGACGTTTAATCCTTATCAGGGTTGAGGGGAAGAGGAAAGAGGGGCGGAAAAACCTAAAATTTCCCACTTCCCGATTTTTAATACTCTTACCACCGGTGTCACATATATGTGACATTCTGCGGTTTTTGATAAGTCCATGTCACAAATGTGTGACGGGCGTATATATACCCGCTTTTGTCCATTGGTTGAGGATGATTACCCATTCTAACCCTTTTAAAGAGTAACAGGTTAGTCGTTCAGCACAGCAGCGTGTGTGTGTGCATGTACGTGATGTCACTGCCGAGCAATAAAATATCTGGACGGTTGTCGGAATTAATTTGCCTCAAAGACAAGCCGTATTGGACAATTTAAGCACCTCTCACAACAAGCGTCCATCTCCCCACCATTGTGAATCAAACACTCCTCAAGCACCCTCGTAGATACTGACGATAACAGAAAAGCCCCACACAGTTTGTTGCCTTATTCCCTCAAAAAAAGCAAAAAACAATGCAAAAGTACACATCGAATCTTCTCTCTATTACTAAATCTTTGCATAACATAACCCTGGCACCTCAACTATCTGCATAAATTAGGCACCAGTAGATGAATCAGAGAGTACCAAAAAAACCACCGAAAAAAATCAGTCTCACTAATCACTAAGCTACAAATTAATTGGCACATAAGCAGGAAGAAGATATTTCCCCTTATTTGTTATCATTCTCACACAAGAAAGGTCTACTAAATTCGTCCCCCTTCACGTCCTTCGGTTCCCCCTTCCCCCAAACACCCCACCTTCACCTCCTCCCTCTTGACTGGTGAATGCAAATTGTGACTTTAAAAAATGATTTCAAAACCCAAACTGCAAAAAAGAAAATGGGAAAAGTTATTCAGGTATTTTCTTAACCTAGAAGTTGGAAAAATGGGGGAAAAGGAAACGGAAGGAAAGGTCAATTACGGAATAGGGGAGGACGACCAATTTTGTTACTCTGGTTGCTACGCAACCAGGATTTGAGTCAGAAATTAGACTTAGAAGTAGTGACATTTGTTTCGAAAAAGTGTCATTAAGAATAAATAGATAGGCGGGGGTGGGCGGAGGAAACGAGAGGAAGACAGATGGGGAAGAAAGGAGGAGGAGGAGGAGTTCAGACTGTGAACGACAACGACTGTAAATCACGCGTGCATTGTGTACGAGCCTAAAAATCATGAAGATTAACTTTTGTTGGAGGTACCGTTCACTCACAGATGAGTTGTTGGAAGATCAGGAGAAAAAGAGAAGAAGAAATAAATCTGGAGGGAGATAAAAAAAGAACACTTGAGGGGAAAATCATTTTTGAGACACATCAGTGGAAATTGGGGGTGACTGAAGGGATCGTGGATTTAAGAGGGAGTCAAACATTCATTTTAAGGCTCTGAAATGCGTTATCCCTCTACTTTTAAGATTTTGTCTGCCATAATGCTCGGCAAGGGGGAAAGCTGTGTGCGTGTGTGGTGTCGGGAGCACCAATTCCATCCCCCTATCGGCTCCAGTAGTGGAAATGAGTGGACAAAGGAGATCCAGACTTGCCCTAAACGGTGTAGCAGATAACCACTGTCCATCGCCATGTCCACAAAGTGGATTAACAAGGACCGAATAAAAGGAGCTTTCAGGACACCTCAATGCCTCTGTCAAATCTACCAATGAAGTTTCCATGCCAACAAAAGGGGAAACAAACGTAATAATACTTGAAAGGTCTTTTGAAGATTGGCCACTTATCCACCGACTTTCACTCCCTAGCCTCTGCGTCTGTTAGTGAAATCCAGGGAGTAGCTATTGCTCCGCCTTGATGTCAGCTAGTCGACAACACTGCCGCATATGGTCAAAGAAGAGGATATTCAAGCGTTGGCAATAGCTGCTGATAAGTTTAATTAATAAGCATTAAGAAAAATTCCCGTTTTTTCTCGGGTAGGGAGCAAGGGGAAGAGGCGGTTCTATGCACTTGAAAAAAGTGCCGCATTTGTTTCGCCTTGAATGTTAATGCCGTATCGGAGAAGAGTGGAGGAAAAGCCATCCACCTCACTTAAATAAAGCGGAAAAAACGGATAGAAAATAATTTAGGAAATGGAAATAGATGCATGGTTGAGCGGAGGGATGGAGGTATAGATACAAGATTGATGGACGCATGGATACAGGATGCAGGGATGGGACACAGAATGGATGGAAGGATGAATGAAAAGGTGGCTAGATGTATACAAGACGGATACGGGATGTATGAATCAACAAATGAATAAAGTGACGTCTTGTTGAATGACTAAATCTTGAACGCACAAATTTAAAACCATGTGGATCAACGCGCTAAGCATCGACAAAAATTCAAGGCACAAAATCGCGTTTTCTTTTAAACAATGGCATATCAACATATTTCACTCACTTGCAAGAGAAGCAACGAAGGCAGAAAGTATGGAAGGTACTTCCCAAAGCTGTGACAACTTCACCCTCCACAGGATTGCCACATGCAGCACATTTGGTGGAATATTCCTGTCGATAGTCCTCAGGGCAGTAGAGACATTGATCACGAAATTGGAAGTTCTTTTCATCCAGGGCTTTTCCACACCCTGCAACCAAATTTCACGGACGAAATCAGTGATAACAGGGTAGAGGATATCAGGTTCGTGATGCAAAATTCGTCTTTCTCACTCTACTGCTGGGTGCTACTTAATTAACCTGCTCAATCGCTTCCAAGGTGAAGGGGAACACCTCCACCACTTCTACACCTCTCTTCGAAGAAGACCCACCTCTAGGCTGCCTATTTGCCTCTCGTGAATAGATAAATCTACGGCAGCCAAAAAAATACTTCCTACAGATAGTCAAATACTTAAGGGGTGAAGGGATGTCTTCTAAAACAGGATTTCAACAAGCTAAATGAAATTTGGAGATGAAACACTTTTTTCGCGTAGAGTGAATCCAAGAATATCCCCAAGATTAATGTCCGGAATGTTAAGAATGGCGGCAATTCGAACGAAGCACCAAAAGGAAATAAAAGGAAAGAAGAAGAGCTTATGCACATTGCTTAACCCATTTGACCTTTGATAAATGTTCCTCCACTAATGGTTATTGGCACACAAAACTGCACCTAAAACCCGTAGAATGTCCTCCAAACTCAAGCAGGATACATGACAAATGAGCTGCTTCATGTAAGCTTCGAGTAACCCCCTAGTGTATGAGTGCTAAATTCATCTCTCTGGATTGTAAAGAGAGAGATAGACAACTAGGTAGCACTATTACTAGTTTTAGTCCTATCTGGTATCACATGGATACGTTTATTTCTCTCCCGAAACGATGAGATTAAGGAAGGGGGGATAACTTACTGTGGCACTTGAAGCAGAGCTTGTGGAGGTAGTGATCCTCGATTTTGAGCACTGTACCTCGGCAGCGTTTATTGCAGATGGCACACAAGACCTTTCCTGGAGGGCAGACAGAACAAATTTGATGCAGATACTCACAATACACGGGCATCCATCCGGTCACAACCACACACTCATACACAAACAGGTGTATTCTATTCAAACAATAGTAATCACAACATCGGCCTTATACCACGACTGCACAGAAGTGGACGCATTCAGCTGTCGATTTTAGACATGCATTCAAAAGGCCGGATATTTTTCCCCGACTTTTTAAAACAGAAGACATTAAACTGATGAATTTGAGCATGTTTACCTCAGCCAGGGGGGACGATAGATGCGTTATGCATTTATGAATGTCAGGAAATGATAGTGCAAAAAATTACGGGTAGAAAACTGGCCTTTTAACAGCATAGAGAGGTCGTGACATTTGTTTTGGGGAGGAGGAGGAAAAAAGAATAGAAAAAGAAGGTATGGATTCAGGAATAAAATCTAGCATTTAGCTGACCCTAAAATGGTACTGAATTTCGTCAAAATGTACCGATAAAATAGTGAAGTTGTGGTCCCAAATTTTCACGGAAGACAACGATCGAAGCAAATGCCAAATTTTACTTACATACCGAACAAAAAGTTCCCAACAACTTCAGGTTTAATAATTGAAAAAAATTAGCCTGAATAATCTGTGCGATTAGACTTGCTGAAGTCGCGGTATTTATTCAAAAGGCACTTTTAAATGGAACTTTATTTATCTAGATTGAAAGGGTTCAAGAAATCGTAAGTTTGATATATAAACGCCCTTAAAGTGTAAACAATGTTTTGGAAAACTAAAGTATTTTAAGAAAAAAAGATGAAGCAGGTCTACATTTATGGACAAAGAGGGTTGGTAACTTGTTAAAAGTGTGGATTTGGAAAAGAACGCTGTTTCGACAAAGAATTCAAACGATTTTGGCAAGAAAAATGGGCTGCCTTATTTTCATAAATGGATAAAGGCCAAGCAAAATTCAGAAAAAACTTGTTAAAGGCTATCGCACATACGCAAAACAAATAGAAATATTCCTTAAACTGTATGATAAAGTGTCCAGCGAAGTTAAGAAAAGAAAGAAAGCAACCTATATGGAAAGCTAGCCAGCCATACACCTCACATGAAAAGTGACTTGAGAAGATACACATTAATGCCGCAAACCGCTGTATGCAGTAAATAATGAAAATAACAAGCAATAGAATAATGCAAGCAGCAAAAAATGTTGAAACAGCATAGGAAGTTCAAAAAGGGGCAAAAAAAGGGAGCAAAAATACAAAAAGTATTAGGGCGTTAGAGACAAAAGGCGTCAGATAAGGCTTATAAACCCTTACCCATTTAAGGAACAAACGCCCACACCATGAACGCAGAAAACGGTCCAAAAACCCGCCAAAGATATTTAAGGTGACAAAATCTAATTTAGCGAATACCAACAACTTTACTGATTAAATACCTTAAAAAATTTTTTAATTTAAATATAATTCAAACATATAAATTATTTATTTAAAACAATTTAAAGTGCCGCTCAACGATGTGCAGGTACGACCAGAATTATTGTAATGCCTCAACATAAAAATGCATAAAAGCAAAATTATGCTTTTTAAAGCATGCAACTAACAAAAAGAGTAGCATAAGTTGTTGGCGTGAATAAATTTCACGCATCCGAGAGAAAACACAGATGCAAATACTTAGGCCCTCCCCTATCCAAAATCAGAGCAATGCAAAATATCAAAGCTTAGCGGTAGAAGCAGAAACTACTTTAAGCGTTTGTGTGGTTTCTGCTGCTCAACTTTATGAAAGCTAAATGCAATGGCTTGGCTATAAATTAGACTATCAAATAACCTCTTCTGTTCCAAAAGTCAGGGCCAAACTTTTTACTTTCGCCGGGCTATGCCAATAGTGACCGGCTCATGTTAGTGCTGTTTTTCGTCTTCAGGGAAGTTTCGGTGATCTACACTGGTAACCACGGAAAGCGGACCCAATGTTAGCGGATATCCACTTTGGTTTCTGCAGATAAATGCTAACAAGTAACGCTACTGGATGGCTGTCTATGCTGCGCATGTAAAATTAACTCTTACTTACATACGAATCCAAAATTTTTACATAAATCACACGAACAAAGCTTGACTAAATATGCTTAACCTCTTTGCTTTATATTAAGATAGATAGTCCCTTGGCTTTTGGGTAATTTTTAGTTGAATTCAATCGCGTATTACTAATTTTGAAACCCAGGAATATTTTCACAAAAAATGCTTTACCATGCAAACCCTTAAACTAAACAGTTTTGCAAACATATAAAAGAATACAGTCATTTTTACCAAACTGAAATTTTACCTGGCCATAACATCGAAGCAACCTGGTGTCATCGCCTCTATTTTATTATGAATAAATTACTGATGCTTTCAGATATTATTCCTCTCAACTTTTTTTAACTCATTACGCCATAGAACATGGCAACATAATGCTTTATTGAAATTTTCTTTGTAAAGGCGTTTAAGCAAGCAAACTTTGACCTTGTTCTATGGATATTTTATCGCGATAATTTAACTTATTGCGTAGGTTTTTATTTAGCAGAAATGAATAAGGCTGGAAAAGATGACTTTCAAATTGAAGTAAATAGCCAGGAGGATTGGGAAGATTTAATGTCAAAGGATGGTCTTAAAGGTAAACTTCTTAATTAAGGTGATTAACCTAAAAAGTGATTGATATTTATCAAGAATGGAGTGGTCCTTGCCAGTCAGTTAAAAATCTGTTTAAAAAAATAAAAGAGGAGCTAAATGATGCGAAGTTATGCTTTGCTGCCGCAAATGTGGATAGAGTTGATACTCTCGATAAGTATCGCGGCCGTTCAGAGCCCTACTTTCTTTTGTACGGAGTAAGGAAAGTTGAGTGGCTTTATTTAAGGGACAATCTCTTGTCGGAGTCATCAAAGGTGTCAATTGTCCTGATATTAGAACTACTATTCATGAAATGCTAAAGCAAGAACATGCTGTTTTGGCAGGAGAGATCGCTCGAGTTGAGATTGAAGATCCCTACTTAAAGGTTATTGAAGAAGAAAAAGCTGCTGAGGCCAAACGAAAGAGAACTCAAAGAGGTTTACTAATGAGACCTTCCTATCTCCTTTTTGATTTGTAGAAGTCGACGAGGAATGCTGTCCTGTGGTTTTACACCCTGATCTCCGTGAAGAAACTGCGGAGGCAATCATAGAAACCGTGAGTATTTATTGTATTTTTGTATTTATTTTGTAGTTTAAAGATGCTAAATATGAAATACTACAAGATGCAGTCATCAAATTAGACATCGATATGGCAAGTGAACTTCTTGCGGATGAAATCGATGAACCTGATTACGCATCGCGTATCAACAAATTGATGAGGGATCCTCTGCGCGTCCTCATTGTGGCAAGAGGTTCCGAAGGCGTTTTCAATGAGATTGCCAAATTTATTGGCCCAAAAAGCAGCGAAGGCCCCTTAGAAGACGAAAACTTTAAGAGGTACTCATTGCTACAATTGTCATTCCCCTCATCCATCTGTTAACTTGATCAGACAACTGTCCGACTGATCGTTCACTTCCTAGTATTCGTGATAAATTTGGTGATGGAAAACCAAATAGTTGTTTAACTATACCGAAAACGTCGGCTACAGCTGAAAAGTGAGTAAAAGCATCATTTCCCTGTCGAATCTATGCTTATTTTGTTTTATTAATCGTCATTTCCTAATCCGAGGTAAAGTACAAGGTTCTTCATTCCACTTGCTCTTTATAAACCGGGACATTCTCAAGTATTAAAACATTATTTTTCATCAAAAGGGCGATAAAAATGCTCTATCCAGAATTCACCCCACGGCGAGTAATTGTCTACGTCCCAGATACTGAGGAGATAAGACCCAGTGTTCATCCCATGGAAGAAAAAAAGGACTCTCTCATGGATGATGAGATCAGTGAGGGTTCTTCCGGAGTGCCTGAATACCAGGGTCCACCCCGAGTTATCGTGCTGGTCAAACCACCAGCTTACGGAAGCTATCGCCACGCAGTTATCACTGACTTGGAAGCAAACGGCTTCAAAGTCCTCTCCACCAAGGACTACACCTTCACTGAGGAAGAAGCTCGCGAGCACTACGCTGATTTGGCTTCTCTCACTCTCTTTGAAGGTCTTATCTCTGTTATGACTTCTGGACCGTCATTTATTATAATGGCTTGCAAAGCTGTGGGTTTAGGCTTGTTTATTTTGGGCTCAAATATTCTTCTACAGAAATCGCTTAAGAGGCAATATCTTGTTACAGGACGGGCCCAGGGCGTTGAAGGACATTTTAGGTCCCGAGTCTTACGCCCAAGCCTTGAAGGACAGTCCAGATTCTCTTCGAGGAAAGTACTCGTCCTTCCCGGAGATTCCGAAAGAGGACGATCTCACATGGATTGATGGCACCATCGCCGAACCGCAGGCTCAGAATACGGTTATTCGCTTTTTCCCCGTAGAAGAAACTTTTGCTTTGCTTAAACCCGATAGCCAACCAGCTTGGGACGAAATTTTGGACGACATCAAACGAGCAAGTTTTAAAATCGCCGCCAAAAAGGAGGTTCAACTCCTGCCTGAAGACGTTCGTGTCATCTACGAGAGGGAGGTGGATAAACCTTACTTTGACGACCTAGTTCGCCATATGACATCGTAATTTGGGGGGATGGTAACGGATTTGGTTTTAGTGGACCATCGCTGGCGTTGGTCTTGAAGGCCCAAGACGCTGTCAAGAAGTGGGCGAAATTAATTGGACCCACGGATCCTGATGTCGCAGTTGACAGCTATCCTCCAGAGTAAGTTGAAATGAGTCATACACTTAGGAAAGTTCTAGGGAGTGGCTAAATCATAAACGAATTTTTAAAAAATGACCTTTTTGTGATAGTGTCAAACCGGAGGATGTGTGGTAAGCGGTGACCTTCCTCTTTCACTGAAATCGACCTAGTCTTCGAGCCACGTATGGCAGGAACATCCGCGACAACGCTGTGCATGGAAGTTCCAGTGTGGAAGAAGCTAAAAAGAGCATTCGACTGATATTCTCTAGTGGTTCGCACGACAGCGACGGCAGCTGTAAGCACGTCTTAATAACTAAAATAAAAATGATTGAGGCATTTTCTCTTTTTTTTTATAAAAATCCTTAACATTAACCTATTAAATGTGAAATAGGTTTCATTGAAGAAGAAGATGAAGATGACGAGTATGACTACGATGATGATGGTAATGGGGGTTGCCCTTTGTTTCCAAAATCCCTACCTTTGTTCGACAACTTTAAATTTGCGCGAGTTTGTTTGTTCGCTTAAACAATAACCGAGTTTTAGAAAGTTTTTTCTGATTTTTAATTGCACCAAAAAAGCACTGCACCAGTACTCATTTAGTTTTTTCCCGAAAACCAAAGCCGTTGCGGGAGCTTATTTATCACAAACATTTTAAAAATACAAAATCGCAATTTTTTAGCACTAAAAAGAAGGGCAATCAGCCATTCGACTTGATTTTAAAAGAACGATTACCGAGTTGTGTTACTTTTCTATCTAATTTAAGAGGGTGTCATAGCTGACATTGAAGTCATTTCATCGACGTGCCCGTTAAAGCCTTGACAAGCCCGACGCTCCTCTATTCTACGTTTGCCTTTGCATCGGTGGAAATAGCAGCTGGTGTCACAAAACTAGCACAGTGGTTCGCGGTTATGCCGGTTCGGAGACCTCTATCTCCTCAGAAATCAGCCACGAGGCATTTATAAATTCCCACTTTTCACCTAAAAACAAACGTATAAATAATGAGATGCGCTTAAGCAGCCACTGCGCAAAGTTAGGCACAAAAGCATGGCAAATTCTAGTGTGGAAGACTGGAATAATGTATTCCAAATTTTTAGACTTCTGCAATGAAGAGCAACGGGAGGATGAAAATGAGGAGGAATATGAAGAGCGAATGTCCCGTTGTGAAAAGCGTCGAAGATGTCATGAAAAGCGTCGAGCTAGATCGACTCTAGAAGAGACAGAGGAAGAAGAGGAGGAAGAGGAAGAGAACGCAGAAGAGGAGGAAGAGAGACAAATTTATGAGAAGGAAGAGGAGAAGACTGAGAAAGAACACGAAAAAGTGGTAGAGAAATCAAAAGGGAAGAAAAAAGGAAAGTCTGAGGGCTCGCACAGCAAAAGTGGGAAGTCAAAAACAGTATCAGTTGAAGAAACTCAACCCCCCACAACAATTGAGGAGGTTAAAGAAGACACTGACATGAGAGCTACTGTTGAGGACGATGGGACCACAATTACATCACCACCTCCCCAAGAACTTCAGGAGACGACGGAGGCGACTGAGGAGGCAAATGTCGAGGAGGCGAATCCCAACAATCAAACTCGACCGAGGTGGAGGGTGAAGAAACTGCTTCCCAGTGAGTGCCACTTTCATCAAACCGGAGATTAGAGGAAAGGAATTGATACTGACCGCTTCTCTGTTCTTCTTTCTTTTAGAGCTGAAGTAGTGAGGGCAATTACGCACCCTCTGGGTCACTCATTCTCTGCGCGCTTTGTTTTGATTTGTGTTGCATTTTGACCTCTTCTCCTTCCACCCTGTTTCTGTTCGGTGTAAATGGATACATCGATAAAGGACATTTTTTTACCACCTGATGTAAATGATCCTTCATTTTAGAAAAAGAGCAACTTTTGTTCGGAGTCATTCTATGTAGAGTCTTTTTGACAGATTATGATTCCACTTCAAAGGAGGGTTTGGACATCCACCTGGGACAAAATTCGTTGAGGGTGTTTGAACTCACCTGAAGACGACTGGACGAGGAAAGGTTGACCTCTGTCCTGAAAACACGTCCAAGCAGGAATTGGTAGATGAAATCGTAACCCAGTTTATAGGTGAATTACAATATCTGTGACGTTCTGAAACGGCTTAACGGGGATAACCAGCTAGATGTTAGTTGGCCCAGAATGGCCCTACAGAAGACGTCTCTCGTCACAGGCCAATCAGCCGTCTGAAGTGTATAAGAATTCACAGCCTCAGAAGCCGATTCCGTCCAGATTTACTGGAAGCGTTTCCTTCCAGAACAATTCTAAAGCGTCTTGAAAAACACTGCCAGTGCACACTGATTTGCTAATATTGCAACCAATCAAAATTCCGGAAATTCAGGACAAAGAAACCACGCCCTCTACTGGTACCGCACCCTTAACCTACTTATGCGAGTCAGTGATAGATATCCGTGCGGTAGAGGCCCAAACATGGCTTAAGCGTCCAGGGCCACATTTTGACCAATAGCAGAGCACCCTTCTTAAAGGCCATCAAAAGTCGGGTGTCATCTTCAACACCGCATATCTGCCATGAAGGGCTTCACCATCATTTTTGGATAACACATTCTGCTACCACATTCCGTACCTTCATGAAATGCCCAAGTGTCAAGATCCTCCTACAAATTCGAAATTCGACTCGGTAAATTGACAAGCCCCAATCCCATTCATCAGGTTCAGTGGACACGTCCTGGGGAGTGGCTCACAGACTGGCGCACATTGGATGCTATTCCTCTAAAGCTGCTCCACCGGGGCGCCTTCCTCGCTCCTTGTGGCCATGACTACGAAGTAATGCGCATCCATCACATCAGGACAGCTGCTTTTAAACTTCGTGGAGCACTCAAAGACAACTCGGAGAGAGGGAGAAGTACCTCGTTTATGCGTGTGGACAGACGCTGTTGAGATCCGAAGACTTCAACACGAATGTCCTATTGCCGACGAGCACAAGGTAACCGGAGCACGGCGCAAATGTTGGAGGCATGAGATGACCCCTGTTGTAGAGCGATGTTTGCATGCGTGAGCTCAGATCCTGATCCTGTCGAATTCCAAACCGGGGTACTCAGTGGGCAGGCATCGATACAGACGACTTTGTTCGCCGACAGGTATGGGGAAGCAGGGGAGTACAGTCTACACCTAGATGGCTAGATAGAAGAAAGTGTCGGAGAGCCGGGATGGTTTCGTTCTCACGCATTCAATGATATTTGATTGCACTTGACCTTATATGCAATCCCAGCCAATCAGGAGGGAGTGAGCGAGGATGCAACGTTCTAGAGGGCTCAGGACTTGGCCTCGAAAAAGAAACGTCTTCCGAGGTTATGGATGTCCCCCAGCAGGCTCTTCTCGCCCGTTTATGGTACTTTAACCGGCTCTGATTTCAAGGTGTCTCCACCGCCAACTTGGCCAATCAGAAGAAGGTCAGGGTGATCGCCAAATGCTATAGGTTTCTAGAGCCTTCAAGAAGGTGGAAGCTTGGGGTAGCTTCCTGCACTCAGCTGTCAAGTTTGGTGGACTTATCAAAGAGGAATACTGAATTAATGGATAGATCAGGAGGAAATTCAAGGATACCATCAACTGAATCGGGAACGAAACAAACTTGGTTGAGGTGTCACCATCTGTCTTGGGAAACCAAGACAGTGGAAAACAGGCAATGACTTCAGCAGACTACGGAGAATGCTAAAGTGAAAATGTTGAAGTTACGTTTCGCAACAGGGCGTGCGTTGTCTTCGAGGGACAAGCCTTTATTCCGACTGGTTTACCAGTCATAGATGTTCTTAAAGAAGTTTTTTGTCTCGAACACCTTCAAGCCGTGTCTTGTCAAGTAAATGGGCCTCAAGCCTTCAGCAAGCAAACAGCTCTGGCTGAACACCAAGCATGACCTTCTGCGAACGAACAAATGCCCGCCCTGGCAGCGTGGAGTGGGATAGTGGATGAGTGGGATGGATATAACCAATGATAAACCTTCTCATTCGCTTGACGAGAGGTGAGGAAGAGGGTGAAAACCTTTGAAGCCTATTGTCCTCTCTTGGAAGGTCTTTGTGTGAATGCCATTTATCTACCAGCTTCCATGACCCCTCCCCTTCTCGATTGATGTAGACTGTGTCTTCTAATTGCGAGTGAAATGCAATGCCTCATCGTGGTCAGGACTAAAAAGTCTTCCTGAGCTTGATACCTCCACTCTGGAACACCTCATTACCACTACCAAACATTCTCAGGTTCTGCCACCACATTCAACATCTTCTCCACACGTTACAAAACAAAGTTATCCAAACTAAACCTACCTTGACACCGAATGCTGTGAGGGAATCAGGCTGGACTTCAGTGGTTACAAGCTTCAAACAATGGACGAGGGAACTGCCTCCTCAGTTTACTGATTCGAGAACAAAAGAACGTCCACTTTTAGACCACTTCGAATTTGTGACCCTCGAAGCTAAATTTTGACCAGCACTCATCCCACCAGTTGCGTAATGATCAACCCGTTTCCAAGGTTATTTTGGAAAAAAGTTTCTCCGTCTTCGACATCTCGCTGAATGTATATTCCATTCCGCTTCTAAATTCACAGACATGGTCCGAGCAGTGTGTGAATGAATGTGCGATTGCAACAGCGTAGCAAAGTCTGGCTATGTGTGTGCATGGAAAAAGAAAATGAGCAGTTCCACTAAATCAGTAGACTATCCACTTCTTGTCCCATCGTCTCCGCTACCAACACTGCATCCGCTCCCTCGGATCGGTCACTGACGCGAAAGTACTTCACAAAAGTGAGTTTGCGCCCATAATCCATGCAGGCGGAGTGTAGATCGCAGCGACAGTAGCCGGACAGTGTCACCGCTTTCTCCAAGATCGCGTGCGTTGAGTATGTTGAAGACTGTTGTGGAGGGCAAAGAAGGCAAACATGAATTTGGAATGCCTTTGGCTGTTGGAGATGCATTATCACCAGCACGAGAGATCACACAGGGAAATTGTAATGACCTACCGAATCAGAGAAGAAGGTACAGATAAATGACTCGGGCTGGAAGATATCAAGAACACGGGAGATGAAGGCGGGGTAGTTGTCCATCGCCACGTTTGTCTCAAAGCTGACGTAGGAGAACTCGGGCTCGGGGGTGACGTGAACGGTGAAATACTCGTCCTAGATTGAAAGAAGTGAGGACAAGACAAGACTAAGTCAGCCTATACAAGAGGGAGGCCACTTCGACGAAGTATGCATTGCATATTTTTCTGGAAAACTGTGAAGATGGGAGATATAGTAAGTGATCGTGTTTGAACTTGTCCGGTGGCTACTTATGCCTGAAAAATTGACTGTCTGACATGTCCAGGGGCAAATCGAGTGACTCGTAATATTCAAAATCTCGGCCGATCTGCTTATGACACGACTTGTGCATGCCTGGTTGCCATGAGCGTATGTCACGTATTTGTGACGGCTGGGCAGAGGAGAGAAATTCGTGGCATCGCACATACTTGGCACTGACAGTGAATAGTCCCGCCAATGTGGCTAAATCTATTATTATGAGGAGCTAAGACTGCTGAGAAGTTCGAGAAAAGTTGACTGCGCACCGCAGTTATCTATGCCATGATTTATGGTGGTCTTAAGGTCGTCACAAACGCCTTGGCATCCATTCGCGACACTCAGCCCATGGCAGTTTCCTGCGGTGGTAAAGGTCCACCAACGATAAAGCGCGTGTGTGCAGGACATCAAGCATCCCTTTTAAGTACTACTTGAATTGTAGCTTCTTCGAATCCCTCACAAATGCGATGGTGGATGGATGAGTAGAAAAAAGTTGGCGCAACCTCCAGAGACGATCACGTCACAAAAAGGAGGAACGTAATCACGCGAGCCTTACTTCGAAACTTTGAAATCGTTTCTTCTCTTCCCGAAACAAAGTTAGTTCGTCACTTCGACATGATAAAGCATTTCATCCCTCGGTTTTCACAGCAAAATGTCACCGAAGATGCCTTTTATGAAATTTCTCTTTTAAGATAAACACAATACTCTGAAGTTTGTGAGTAGAACTCTTTACTGGCGTCGAGCCTCTTTAAGGTTGTCAGCCTTGACCCCAGCACGACTGCCGGAACGGTGACTGGTGCTTCACAAACAAGGGGGCCATCAAGGGCTTCACAGCGTGACCCAACAGAGGAGCCTTGAATAGCAGTGTGGCTGCATACGGCTAAGCGTGAAGGTGGGCCACACTACGACTTAGCCGCGTGTCGTTACACCATCTTGACAATCGGTGGCACCGTGTTTTGAAGGTATCATTAACGTCTCAAGGTCACTGTGTAAATCCAGTTAAAAAGGATCGCATGAGGCACTCACCAATTTAACACCGTTTATGGAGTTTAGGTGCTCTTCAAATAAACTCTTTTTGGCTGTCAGAGAGCACTGTTGATCGACAGATGACGGAAGATATAAGACAGGGAATCAAAACAATCGCCGCCATTATCCTTATCGATACGTGAAACAAAGTAAAATCCCCAATGAAAATGCACACTTTGCGGCTGCAGTTAAGCACAAAAAAAAGCTCCCTCAGCGGGAACAGGAGAGAACAAAATTCCGGTGTAACGCATGAATGTTGGGCTACCTACCCAGCCTGGTTGGTAATTCAGCCCTGTACATAACACCGAAACTAACTTGTCAGCAAGGAAGGACAAGGGCAAGAGCCCCTCACCTCATTCATGAGCCCGTTGGCGGAGTAGCCACATGGAGTGAAGAGGTAGGAAGACACCCGTCCATGAGGAAAGAGATCCGCGATGCCCGAACACTAGGGGTGAAGGCCGAAAGAAAAGTTAGGATGAGGAGATGGGAAAGGAGGAAGGAGAGAAGCCTAGACTAAATGTAGCTTACTTTAGTAGCCTCCTCAGCGGAGTGCGAAGCGCGTGCGTAGAAGACCTCCATTCTGACTGGATTGAGGTCACGCATCATTAGCTAAAAGGCAGGAAGTAAAGTGCCATCAGGATTTTTACACAAGGTGGTCCAGGTTACAACACCATTGTGTAAACTTTTTTGGTTAGAGTTTTAAGAATTTGTCAGGTAAAAGCAAATTCAATAAGATTTTTGAGAGGTAACTGTGGAAAATTCTGAGGAGATTCATATCTTTTAATGCTTAAAGCGGGAATAAGGCGCAGGAACAACGACTGCGACTCCCAAATAATGGATTTGCATCCCAATGACGGCTTCGAAAACCTGCGGTCGTAGTGTAAATTAGCAGTGTCACTGTCAAATAGTGAATAATCCAGGACAATGGTTGGGAGGGTTGCGGTGTGCTTAAAATGAAGCTAGAATTTCAAAGACAATAAAGTTAACTATCCTGGAGTTCGGCTCACGCTGAGAAAACAAAAGAGGGACGACAGGTCCTTTAATAGTTAATCCGGATGCCTTGACAACATCTCATACAAATATTTCCTACAGTATATTGGATGTTTCGTTTTTTATAAGATAAACCGTACAAAGAGAGAATCAAAAAGGAAGAGATAAGAAAATACTACTCATAACACACGACTCAGTGGAAGATGATCGGAGTATCACGTGCAGTGATGTTGATAAGGTAGGGTTAAAGAACTAACTTAGTGTCACAAATAAACAAAAATCTCAGCTAGTGGTCATTAAACCACAGCTTCTTCGCCCTCTTCACCTGCACTTAGATTATATTTTTTTTCTACTGGCCAGTGAAATGAGAGAACTGAAAAGTGCCGATTCAACGACTATATGCAGTCTTGGGAGCGCCTCCGAGTGCGCTACGAACAAAGCGGAATATGTGATGGGAGGCGAAAGAGGGGTAAAACAAAGGAGAACTATTGTCTATAGGGGAGTTAGCGAAGCGAAATCCACCGACAGGTGCAACCTCGGGTGACCCCTACAACCTGTAAAAATGGGTTAGTCAGACAGCGAAAAAGTTCAATTAGTAGAATGAGCGTACAACGAGATAAATTTAAGGCAGAAAATTCACCTACTCCAATTAGAAGGCTTCATTCCTTCTGTTTTTCCATCAAATCAACCGTGAAAAAGGCTCAATGAGGGAAGTAGAAGCCCGTTTAACACTGTTTAACTGCATTAATAAATAGGAAAAAATCATGGCCTCCACTGATTAGAAGTAAGAAGGTAAAACAATTGGTTTGTACAGAAAAAGGAATCGCTTTTTAAACAAAATATATTAGACACATGGATAAAGACTAAGAAGTGGAAGAAGGGTCCTCCTAGGCGATAAAACAGCTTTAAATCCGCTTTCACTAGGGAGTCCTAGCTATTGTTCTAGAGTCTCTTTTCAATCAATGAAAAGATCAGATGTTACCCAAAGACGCTGTATGATCATCATTTAAACTCACCTTTTCCTGAGGATTCACGAATTAAAAACAACAAAATCGCAACTTTTTTGTGAAACGGAAAAGGAAAACCGTGTCAGTTTTGGAGATGGCCCTCACATTATACTTTCATCAACAAAGAGATTAGAGGTAAGCGCGAGACTCGCTTACCAGTAGCTCTTAAATAACTCAGAAGATTTGTCATTAACACAACTCTTGAAGCAACTACAAAGGGCAGGGAGGAGTTCGCTCCGGCTGACATCGTAATTACCTCGAATTCTCATTGATTGAAAAGCTGCATAAACTTTAGAAAATAAAGTAGATTCATGATTTTTTGTACGGCGACTTACCAAACGCCAAGTAAGTTAGTCTTTCTTGAATTACAGAACAACAACAGTCGAAAAAACGGTTGAAACGCCCTTTCTTTCTGTAGACCAAATGCCGCCCCGAGACAACCCAAAAATGTCTTTATCATTTTAGAACTTTTAAACCAGAGCTGGAATTCTACTCTCACCAAAAAAATGGCCGTAGATATGACAGGACGTATCACATTAAAAACGTCCAAATCTACATTTATGAAGAACTGTTAAATAAGAAACGGCAAAATTTCAACTAAGAGCACAGAGCGCAGAGTGTGGAATGGTCCATCATCACATTGTGTCTAGATGAAATTATCTTCCTATAATGAATAATGAAAAGAAGGAAACCTCCTACGAAAAACACTACGATAGATGGTGTGGCGTTTTGTCTAAACCGCAAGCCGCACCCTCCAAACGCAGCAACATCGTTATCACAACAGAATGAGAAGCAAGTTTTTCAGCCAATGATCGTAATTAGAGCTACCTACTTCCAGCGTTTGACCTGGAGGCTCTTTCAGCTGTGCTGAGGTTGACTGACCGCGGTAGAAGTTCCTATAAAACAACGAATGATACCAGAGGAGCTTTTGGACGGTAGTAGACAGTTTCGGAGAAACGCCGAAACTCACCAACAATCGCCGTTCAAACGACCAAGGGTGTAGCCGGCTCCTGCTGAAAGGAGAAAGTGAGAGGAAAAAATGTTACTAGAGAAAAGAAACGTACTTTTGCAGAACTTGTCAAGCACAGAGATCTGAAAAGCAAACGCGACTGTTGGAATTTTCAAACGCTGAAGTGGTGTGGGACAACTTCAACAAAATAACCAAACCTCATTTTTAAAGTCTCCATGCGGTTCGGCCTGTAACTCGGGAAACAAGAAGGACCGCCGAGAGTAGTACAACTAAAAAAGAAATATACAGGTAAACTAAACACTACTTCAATCACCATAATCCAAACTAGTTCTGCAAACGCACCACGTATTTTGCGAAACCCAGGCGCATGGCGTACCGGATGAGCGGCTTCAATGACTGAAGAATCTGAGTTTGGCCGCAGGTTTTGAGAATGATGCGATTCTTGGTTATGAAAAGACTGCTTTCACTAGAAGAAATCATTGCTGGAAATGTTTGGGCATACCTAAGAATAAAACTGAACTGTCGTTTGTTGTGATACTCAGCAACGATTTCGCAATGAGCCATTTTCAATAGGTGCTCAATTTGAGCTCTAATGAACCAATTATTTTTTTCCAACCGGAAACAACGATTCTACCTTTTCAGCTCAAGAAGATTTGGGCATCCACGACAAAGTGAAATCCTGTCTTCATCGTAGAAGAACCAAATTTCAAGGAGTTTTTCAGCGCCTTCGTACTTTTTCATATCAAAATTGATATGGACAGGCGACAATTGTGGCATACTGCAGAGATACTAACGTCAAATTTCATTAAAAATTCCATCACAAAAACAAATTCTCAAACCCATTATTAAGAAGGGAAAGATCGCTTGAAATAAATAGTCACACAAATTCACATATGATGTAGGGAAAGAATAAAAGCAAAACTGAAATCCTCACGATGGTGATATGGAACAAATCCAGTACAAATTAACTCAAAACAGCAGTGGCCATACTTGTTATGAAGCCTCTGCACAAAAAACCCGATCGCATAACAAATAACTCATAACATAAAAGGAAATATAGTTATAAGGTGTACGTTGTAAAAGCAATACACATACAGTGAAACAAGTCCCTGGAGTGCTGCTAACTAAACATGCACTTTATCCACGACACGAGAATGTATACAGTTCCAAATCGAAGCGTGGCTGTGGGTGGAATGTTTCTCCAACCTCTACGAGCAACCGTAAACGCGCAACAACTGAAGCTGCGTGCTAAGCCACTTAAACAAACAGAAAACAAAATTTTCTGGTGGAGTAAAAAGTATGCGCAAAATACAAACAGAAGGCACATTTAAGTATATTTTAAAATTAGTGTTATCAGGGTTTCTATGAAACTACAGCGCAGATAAGTTAATTCCCTCATTACCAGATTATTCCTTTAGAAAAGTAGGCACCCAAATTAGCATAATATATTGGCCATCATCATCCTAATTTTTCCAATATTTTGCTTTTGCAAACAATATTGGGAATTTGGTTTATATTGGAGGCTCTAGGGGTTTAAAATAACGGGTAATATGTTTGCAAACACCATCTCAACAATCCACTTTTTACTGCAAAAAGAGGAATTTACTCTTGCCCTCAATTTCGGTCACTAATACTTATTGGTTGCCAGTATCAGTTCATATCCTATGATTCTGAATTTTTAAACTTGAGTCTTCAAACTAGTATTGTTCGCACTCTGATATCTTTCTTTGATACATGACAGGTTTTACTTTAGCTCTGTACCTGTTGCACTTTTTAAGATAAGTGATTCTTTGAAAAAAATGTTTTTAATGCAGTAGCCCCTAACCGGATGGTCAATGAACAGGACATCGGTACAGGAGTCCAAATGACGTGCATAAAATAGGGCTCACGGCAAATGCGTGTCAGTTTAGCAACCGGCTAGTGAACACTGTCAATCGTATGCGAGCGACTGAGAGCGAGATGTTTCAAAGTGCCTAAGACATCGCCACAAAGGTGGAAACTTTGGAAAATTGGTAATTGTGGGAATCGCTAGCCTTTCCTTTTGCTTGTTTTTGATTTGCCGAAATAGTGGTGTTAGGCTCATATTTAAATGGTAAATCGACACTTAAAAATAGTCAGTAAGATAGTAAGTGAGTCAAAATTTGGACATTGCATCTTTTACGCTGCACCTCTCATTCTACTATTTGTACGGCAGTAGTATTATCTCGTTTCGTGCTATAATTTGTAACATCATGCCAAAAAAGGATCCATTCGCAAACTTTTTTGCCTTATTTAAGAAAATAATAGGAGTAAAAGATATCCGGTCCAGTGAGAAACCATCTACTCGTCAGTTTGCTGCCTAGTTGAGCCACTTTGCCACCCCATGACAACCCTAAGTGTGTGACTCCTGTTCAATGGTTCAGGTCATCAACGCTACTGAGAAAAAAAGAGAAAAAGGCCACTAAGCACGCATTTTGACCTCCTCAGTCGAGAGATAAGTTTACACATCACAACCCGCATTCAATGACTAATTGCATCTCCTTTTTTTCTCGTGTCTTCGTCGATTTCCATCACCTAAATAACGCAGATGAAATGGAGAGGGGTCAAGGCTAGTGGCACCACACACAGAAAACGAATAAGTAAGCAATAGCTACAGTAGCCTAGCTTCCAGTTCTCTCTCTTGTTCTCGTTTGCTAGCATAGTAATTAGCCTCAAAGCAGAGCGGAGAGTAGACAAGTTAGAGCAGGACACGTGGCACTTGTCTCTGCGTGTTTGTGTGCTTTTCTCGCGCTCTCGCCTGATCGAAGAGCGCTGCCAGTGAGAAACTGCTCTAGGAGACAGTTGAGAGGTAGCGAAAAAGTGAAAATGAAACAAAATTGTCTAATGCTATGGGAAAGTGACACCTCCCACTCTGTGAGGTGATAAGCTCCTCACAGCTAAATCCTTCTAAGGTGACCGCGGTTCACCTCACTGATGCGTCGTATCTGGGAGACCGATCTCAGCCCCATTCACTTATTACTTTAGGGCACTGATCCTTCCACCATCCCACACAGGCAAAGCCGAGTCTTTTAGAAATGAAGCGGGGCATGCCTTGAGGAGGTTTGGGGTGGATACTGAGTAAAGGAACCACGGCGGCTCATTTGAAGAGCTCGTTTGCGTGAAGTAGCTTTATAAAATCCAGCTCTCATCACACGTTAATTAAGCAGTCAATCTGACAGCATCAAGTACCTTTGAGGCGTTCACCACCATTTCTGAGTGATATTCCCTTCTATCTTATTCAACTTAAGAAGAATCCGCCAACACAATTATCGATATTCAGCTTAAGTCTCAGTTGTTTAACAGCCTGCGCGCAATTCAATCGCCTTGGTTTATATGGACTCCTCTGACTGTGAGGAGGTCTGGGAGCACTGCGCGCCCATACGACTTGCTGGAAAGAAGAAAACAAAAAGGTGAAGTAGTGAAGGGTGCACAAAATGGGTGCTGGGGCGAAGGAATTACGCAAACCTCAGCCTTATAGAGTAGGTAAACAGTTGGATATACTTTTCGTGAATCACGAGGAAGGCAGTGGAATGAACCGCACAACTTGAGTGGTAAGAGCCTCTCTGTCACCCGATCTCTCATAAGCTAAGCCCCGATGAAAAAGTTTCGGTTTTTTTCCTTTTTCTTCTTTAAAAGTAAATCAAAAGTAAGGCGATGGAGACCAAACGGTAGATGCCCTGCTTCTCCTGCCCAGTGTGTGAAGAATGGAAGAACCTCCGTTCCTGTATTAAGCAGGGATTTAACTGCTCCTAAGCTATGGGACTGGGAATCTTTCTGGGAGGCGGAGGGGATGGCTTTGGTCTCTACGTTCCCTAGTGCCTCGTTGATCCTAGCAGCTTGAAACACTTGCCAGGATATCAGAAGAGGAAATCGTGGTAGAACGTAGTGATATGGAAGCAATGGCTTGAGTTTACTCCAGCCTTGTCTGCAAGACGTCACGTGCCATGCCTCTCGTAGCTCACCTCTGTCGACTAGACTGTCAATTCTACATGGGGTGCGTAATAAAGTCACTTAGGCGGATAACTCATGAGGATAGGCTCATAGTGGCGTAATGGAATATTCCAAACATCTTTCAGCTCTCGTAAAGTTGGTTACTACTAGAGGAATGGACTCAGCTGTAGATGGCCAACACTTTTTTATCTCAAGTCTTGGTCGGCGGTAGAGGGAGGGCTTTGTCGGGGCATCTGAAATCACCGATAATAACTCCTCTACGCTACGAATGAACTACACAAATGGTAATTATTTTAGCTTTGGTGGACTACAGACGAGATGGCTGGGCTCCTCCTCCTTGAGGGGCTAGGGCCACTCAATTAGCAGGACATAAGGCAACATCTCATCACCACAAAATCTACCGATAAGAAGGCCTCAACAGAGTTGGCACTTCATCCTCGATGTGCATCTTCCGACTAGACAAGCGTAAGGGAAGGCGGAAGTGGGACAGGAGGTGGAGGAGGAGGACCACCTCCCCCTTCTCTACCCACCTATCTTAGCTTTGATCGGCCAACAACTGCCACCTCTCTTTGATTCTCACTCTCTTAGACACCTGAACCACAATGCCTATTACTTAGGTAGCTTCGTCTTGAGTTAATTTTGATCTCACATGACCCCAACGTCAACTGGATCCACGTGCCTGTGTGCGTGTGTGTATTTGGGTGTTTGCAAGCGTGGATCTAAAATCTCCACCAATCCACGACCGCCAACGTGTCAAACAGCCCCCACAAAAGTGTGAGTACTCTTGATGCGTGCACGCCCCTCTTCACCAATCAGAAGGCAGAACGGCACCACTCCTATCGATCGGACATTGATGGGTATGTGTAAGTGCCACTCAGGAGGTCTGCATATACGCGTGAGCACCCACGCATGCACCACGAAGGGCGATGCACGCACACAACGGCGAGTATAAAAGCAGTGGCTGTGAGTGAATTCTCCGGTCTTCAGCGATGCCAATCGCCGGATACCCGAGGAGTGGCGCCTTTCAGCGTTCACTCTTCTCCCTTTCTGTTTATGTATTAGTCATCCGTCGTCTTGGACCGAGTGAACCCCAACATATCATCATGCGTCCCTACTAATGCATCAACGGCTGTGAAAATGTACAAAGTGTTCTCTTGTCAATGTCAACTAGTAATAAACACTGCTCAATTAATAATCCGCGTATGCATGTGAGCGTCTCGTCTTTCATTATCGTCTCTCTCATCCAGCACTCATTGTAGTCGTTTTTCTCTACTTTATTGTTGTTGTTGATGTTCTTGTGTTATTTGGAGTAGCACATTACCTAAGCCTTTCAAATCACTCAGTATACAGTTGTCACTGCTAATTCTGCTTCTATGCTGTCACTGTCACGCCTTCATAATGCGCAATAAAACATGGTTCTTTTTAAACTAGTGACTCGACTTCTCATTGGCTTTGAAGGGGGGGGGGGGAAGCGGGAAGGGAAGGGAAGCCGGGGACCCGAGATACTAACGGAGGCGGATCCTGGCGGGTTAACCTGATTTGTACGAGAAAGATTGACCTGATAAGTAAAAATTAGTCAAGTCAATTTTCATAAGGCGAGCGTATTTGGGCTAACGGAAATGGCATTACCAATTAGAACGATGGTGCCATGATTAGGTGGCCAATAAGATGCCTCGATTCAAAACTCGAAAAATGGTGGGTTCCTTTAAAGCATTTTTGATTCCTTGTCCTAACATCAACATTGCGAAGTCATGACAGTCCTTTAAGTTGCCAACGACTTAGTATGCACTGAAGTGTGGACAGCTTCACTCATTCCCGTGACTCGACCGCCAGGAGAGTGACGTGGAACTTTTCTCATACTCTCAAAATTTGCAATGTGTGTCTTTCAGGTTAGGATCACGAAAAATTTAGTCTGAAACGTGAGAGAGGGAGAGGGAGAAAAGGATGGAAGAGTTATAAGAATAAATGCAACCTGAAAATTTCACTGAGGCCAAAGTGACTGCATCACCTTAAAGCTACGCGTGGCATGGGGTAAGCACACAGAGAGTTCACACACACACACACACACACACACACACACATACACGTGGAACCTTCTCATCTGTGAGGTTACGTCGCAGTGAGGCCACGCCACTGTCGTGACAAGAAGCCACATGTAAGCCTGTAAGACAAACAGGCGGACTATGGACTACGGAGTGGTCTTAGCACGTACCATATCGCCTACCACAACAACCCAGATGCCTCATTTTTTCATCTACTTTGCCATCAGTTTGTGAACCACCGCAGAGGTCAGCTCAACGAATACTATTAATTACCAAAAATGGAAAAATCCAACTCACTCCAACGCGTAGGTCACATATTTCTGACAACTAATGCCAAGGTAGCAAAGATGGCAATAGAACGACTGGAAGGCCTGACAAAGTGAAATGGCTTAAGTCAGCCACTCAATTGCTACTGATACGTCTCAGCCGCTTGTCTGCCATCTCCTCTGTATGCAGTTTCGGCTACCTTATAGCATCGACGTGTGCATTGAAAAACCATTCTACTGAAATACTTAGAAGTAACCTGTCAGATAGGATGACTAAGGTATCGAAGTTGAGAAATTTAGCCTTGTTTTATCATAAGTAGCATACACTGTCAGACCCTTCATCAAAAAGTATTTTGAAAACATTTCTAAGGTTTTTACAACTAATGAAGCGGTCTACGGAAAGACACGGAAGACGGTTAAGGCGTTCTAAAATTGATATATCTACTGAGGTGTTGCAAAAAGAAGCTGTATGACTTGTGTTCTAATGTTCAAAAGCGGTTTAGATCAACAAATTATGTATTTGCACTCCTTTCAAGTAATGCATTCAATATACCAAGTTATGGATGTTTCGCAAACATAACAGCAATTATCAGCAGTTCTTACAGCTAGTTAAGCTGGCATTGTAATAAAGACGTTAGTAAAGTCACTTTAAAAAAAAAACAGAATGTGAAGCGGAATATATCATGTTGATTACAGCTAGACAACGATTTTACAAGACCTTTTGAACAGCAATAAGTCACCAGATAGTTTTACCCCAGAAGGACAACTTATCCCTAATTTTCCATACTAAAGTTTAAATTCCGTAAATTAGCAGTCCAGTAAAGTCAGGTAATAGTGGCAACAACCTTCATAAATTTACCAAATGGCATTGAAATTTTATTTCCAGTGGGTCATTAAATAGATAAATCCCCCTAAATGTCATGATAAAACATGGCAGATGAATGACCTTCAATTTTTTATAACGAACACAATGCTTTGTGTATTTGCTGGGACTGCATATTAAACTTCCGCATTTTCTATCAATGGAAACGGGTATTTTTCCAACCAGGCTACAATGGCAGCATATGCGGAGAAAATCCATGCACCGCCATAAAGAATTCACTGAAATGAGTTTTTACAACTTGTAAGGATAAACGAAGTGCCAGTACTAATTTGCATGCCCGCATTATAACAAGGGAGAGTGATAATTATCAATTTACCAGTGCGAAATCCTGTTTTGCGGACCTCACCATCTTCTTTTTATCGTTGATCGAATAAAAGGCTAGTGTCAGTTGCGCAGTTTGAGTCTTTCGAGCATGACTGCCTAGCAGGGCCTAATCAGTTCACAAAACCCCGGAAGGCTCCTCTCAAATTTTACTTAACGCCACGCAGGTAGGGTTCGTGAAGGGCACCACGACGCAAAGGTGCCTTGAGCAAATAG